ACACATGTTTGTTGTCTCCTGCACCAAACACCAAAACAAATTCCATGAGTGGAACGAAGGACCTGGTGATAAACCTGAATCTGAAAATATTTTATAATGATTTTACATGTAAACATAGTCCCTTTAACAGCCTGTGTCTGTGGGATGAACCTGGTAAACACAGTGGCTTCAGGCATGGAGCTCTGTGAATTATGAGATTGTAATCCCACCAGATTACACTGTTCCAGCTTTGTTCAGGGATGAAAGAATCCCCAAAGTCAGTTAGGAAAGGGGAAGCAAGCGTGGAAAATCGTGTGTGTGTGTGTGTGTGTGTGTGTGTGTGTGTGTGTGTGTGTGTGTACTTCTCATTGATCTCTAGCGCCACCTACTGTTTAAACCAAAGTTGTGCAATAATCATCTCATGACTTCTTGTTGACTGAACGTTTGTCATAATCAAGAACTTGGTTTACATGTTTACATTTAGGATTCTGATTTCCAATAGAGCAACAAAGGTGGAAACACACAAGTTATTTTAGCTGGACTTTATCTGAAGTACTGATGGACGTTATTTCCTTATTTGTCTTTGTTGTTCCAGCTGAAGATAATATAAAGTCTCATTCATTAAGCTGTTTGCTCGGGGTGGAAGAATCAAACATGTGTTCAGTTCCCCTGCTGCAGAGCAAACACAGAAATATTTAGCAGTTAGGTGTCTGACTTCAAAGAACACTTTCTACCTGGTGACACGCTCACTAGCAGAGAAAACATCACTTCATGTTCATGCAGAGATTTTTACACATGTGTGAAATGACCAGTGAAACTGGAACTGGACCCATTTTAAAGGTTTAACCCCTAAAGGTAAAATTATCAAATGTGTTTTTTTCTGCCACTATAAAGAGGATTTTAAAGATGTTCCTGCATAATTAAACTCGGTTACATTTTTAAAGGATTTTAAGTTCTTAAATGAATCCTGGATCTTATTTACACTCGTTATCAATCTGTTTAGATTATTTATTCCGTCAAAAAGAAAAATCCAACAGCTTACACACAGAATTGACAGTTTTCACTCAAACTTATTAATTTCAACCTCGGATGAAGAAAGGTTGATAAAATAAAAACAATTTAAATGCTGAAAAATTAATTCACAGTAATCGATTTAAACCAATATTTTAGTGAAATTCAAAAAAGATGTTTTTTGTTGGGAAATACATTCAAACAACAACCGGCAGCGTTTTTCAGACGGAAAATCACAAAGGATCCAAAATCACCCAGATTCGAAACTGAAATATAAGACTACTTCACTAGCAGGCTGTCGTTAAGTAGATTTACTCACAAATAATTGTCTTTCAAGAGCAAGTCACCCCCCTAGAAGAACCTTACTCCACTCCCACTTCATGTGTGAAAACTGCATCAAACGCTGTTGCCGGGCAGATGGAGAGGGCGGAGCCGCTGACAAATACAAATAGGCTCACAACAGCAATAGGCTCTTTTCAGACCAAGGAACCTTCTGTAAAACCTTCCCGGGAACTAGCCCCCTTTTGCACGTGTTCGGTCAGATAGGAACCGTAGGAACCTTTTAGCTCCTACTCTGAGGCCGGGACTTCCTGTGGCTCCTATGGAACTAACGTGACGTCGGCGCTTGGTGAGCTTCACCCCTTGTTTGATTTCTACATCTTTTCTGTTCTGAACCGTGTTTGTTTATTTAAAAACAGACTGGACTGCATCCCGGATACTTCTGCTGCCACCAGCACACCACGCCAAAACCGAACCAGACAAACTAAACAGTCCTAATGCATTTATGAATGTTTCGTCCCTTCTCTTGATATAACGGAAGGAAATTGTTCATTTTGGGATTAAATTTCTGCGCGAAAGCCGCCGATAGCGAGCATGTGTTTGTACCAAATTAATAAGTAGTCATTTAGCTTTCTTTTCAGTGAATGTCAGCTTTGTTCTTGATCTTTGCCCATGTGAACCACGTGTGCGAACACATACAACACAAACACACACACACAGTTAAATATTGTGTGCATTAATCTTATAGTATAAACAGAACAGAGTTGCTATCATCTATATTACGTTTTTATGGTGGGCTTGTTTGATTAATATGTGTGGTTTATAACTTATCTGAGTCAATGAGTTAGTTTAGGACACTGTGTGTTACTGATAAAGGTACTTTTATAACTTGTTTTATTCTGAAATGTTCATCCATCCAGCTGCTACACCAGAACCAGCATCTAGAGGCATCAGCTTCTTTCAGCCAGCTGCTGGCAGCCTCTGCCACCCTACACCAGGTACAGAACTGTCTTATTGCAAATGTGCAATCTCTGTGGTCATTAAAATGGTTTAATTCTAAAATATTTATTCCTTCAGCATCTACACTGCACCTACACCCTATTACCCACCAGCAGCGCTGCCACCCCAAACCTGGAACACACATCTCATTCCACAGAATTGGAATTTAGTGTATTATTTGGCACTTGTGTGTCATTTCCATCTCCACACTCCATGTATTTTCCAGGAAGGAGAAAAAGGGGTGACACGTCTGGCTACTGTGCTGGAGATGCTCGGGTCAGAGGCCGAACAGGAGGCAGAGAGATGAACGGTTTAAGACTGTGATGCAGTTCTCCTGTGAGCTGACAGAGAGGGAGTCTAAAAACATCTAGCTCAGCAGGACAAAGCAACCACCAGCAGAAGCTCACAGAGGGTCTCTTGTCTGCAGATAAAAAGAAGTGAACTTGTGACTCCACATGCACAAAGCATATCATGCATGTGTGAACAGTTATTTTTACACTGAAATACTTGAGTTTGTATCAGGCATGTTTTTAGTAAATGACTAAGAGTCAGAAGTACTCTTTGTCTCTGAGTGATGTCAGTTAGATGTAGTTTGGTCACTCTAAATATGAACTATTAGCTCACATTAAGCCTTATCCTCAGGTGAGTAATCTACTCCAGGTACGCAGCTCTATAATAGCCCAGGTTACAGCAGGAAGTGAATGACATGTAACAAAGGTCACACATTCAGAGATTTTTGGCAGCTTGAAACACACACACACACACACACACCACTTTCTACATTTTAACCTCACATGTGACACATTATAGAATGTCTCATCCTTTTTCTAACCCATCAGTCACAGACAACACCTTCCGTGATGCTCTGTCACCTTAGGAGCTTGCTGCAGATTTCCTAGTGACTTCAATATTCACACAAAGCTTAGTCAGGTAAAGGGATATTTATTTAGCATGTGAACATCACTTTAAACAGTGTGACAACCAACAAAAGAACATTTAGTCTTTAATAGTGTGAAATGATGTCTACACGCATGTTCTCTCTGTCAAACGTCCAACGTGGCTGTGGCTGTTGGTTGTTTTCACTCTTGTCTGGACTCTCGCTGAGGTTAGGAAGCACACAGCAGTTGTTTTTAAACTACAGCAGAGATACGTTGTGTCCATTCTCTCCAGGGCAGGCTTCAGGAAGACGTATAAGGTCTGTCTGGACATACGGAAATTCTCCTTCAGTCATCAGTAAAACTTGGAAAAACCTTTTCCCACCAGTCATCAGCTTTGTTCTGGACCCAGATGGACCTTGAAGTCCGTCATCGCAATCACCTAAAATGCAAACAGAACGCGAGTTAAAATATAATCCGAGATATTCACTTATTGGTAATCTGCTGAATAAAAATGAGAATACAGTTAAAATGTAAAACCATACAGACACATACAATCAGAGTGTTTAATGGGGTAACTTACACATGGTGTCGTTTATCTACGGCGCTGTTTTCCTTTCTTTCTCCATTACGGTGCATCACTCTCGCTGGATTCTTCATCTCCCGACTCTGCGTGCTCTAGCAGCCTTGATGTGATACCTGTTATCAGAGGTGTGGACTCGAGTCACATGACTTGGACTCGAGTCAGACTTGAGTCACTATTTTAATAACTTCTGACTTGACTTGATAAAATCTATTAAGACTTGCGACTTGAATCGACTTGCATCTATTGACTTGATGATGACTTGAGCATATTTGATATTTTAGCACTAAAGTGGCACGACGTGGACAAAAATCATAAATCATTCTTCGTTCTGGGTTTGATTTACTGCTAAACGCAGCAGCACTTGGTTTATAATCAGTTTCAGTTGCACTTCCTGCTTGTTTGAGCAAATTAATGAAGCTTTAATTCTGGAATTTATTTATAATCATTATCATTGAATTGAAGTTGAACAGATTACTTGATTATGACTTAAAAATTCAAAGTTAAGGACTTGGACTTGACTTGGACTTCCACATCATTGACTTTGGACTCGACTTGGACTTGACTCGAGACTCGACTGGAAAAACTTGTGACTTACTCGTGACTTGCAAAGCAGTGACTTGGTCACACCTCTGCCTGTCATTTGATCGCTCATCAAAAGTATTCTCGCAAAGCAGGTAATGAGCACTGTCGTCTCCTGAGTCCCATTAGGTTAGCCGTGAGCTTAGCTTCGTGGTATTGTTATTCCGGCACTTAATTAACTCGTTACACTGTTGCAGGCGGTTTCATCATGCCCACCTCCAAAAGGTTCCTGAGCGCTGTGCAAACGCAATCTGAAAAGGTTCCTATGGGAAGGATAGTTCTAGGAACTAAAATCAAGGAGGATGGTTTTAGTAACTTAGTTCCTAGATCTATGCAGTCCAAAAGCACCTATTGTGACATAATGTACCAGCTAACGTCACTGTGTACATTTTAGCCAGTAGCGATGGTTGATTTAAATTCTAATGTTTCGCAGTTTTTACCTGACGACGGCGCAACACTGACAGTTGTAGGCAGCGTATTTAAATTTTTAACTAAGATGCACTAAAGTACCAAACTATTGACTACACATGTCTACAGCACAATTAGACTCTCATTTATATAGTTTATCAGCAAAAAAAAGCTGATTTGGGGTGACTTGCACTTTAAGAACCCTGCTGATCACACGGGTCTCTAAACATCTGATAAAAACCAACAAGAAAAGAGAGATGACTTTAAACAAGACAATCGCAGCATACTGTTATCAACATTTACTTAAAATCTCAAACGTAAACATTTTTATTAAACATTCAGACGTGAGTAAAAATAATAATAAGATACATAAACTAAATTTGGTCAAAATTATGTCAACGCAGAGCTGCCACCCACTCAAAATAAAGTTAGAGCAATATTCCGTACAGGGATAGATTAGTTTTTCACATTCTTACAATATGCATGTGTGTCACATTCATACAATAAAATAATATTGTACAAAGTGACTTGTATGTACATTGTTAGAATGATATTTTTTAAGGTTAGGGTGAAAATGTGAAAGAACAATAAAATTAACCTGTTTTAAAATGTTGCTCAAATTTTATTTCGCTTGGGTGACTGCTCTACGCCTTCATACAATATCACTCTTAGTAAACGTTATTTATCAGAAACATTTACAGTGTTAAAAACATTTTACTACCTCTCAGTTTCAGTTCTGGTACCAAGAGCTCCGTCTTTGAGTCACATTTAAAGAAAAAGATGAAAAACAAATAACTAAACGAAGAACACCAGTCAGCAGCGGCTTTTAAAGCTGCAATGGCAAATCTGCAAAACAAGCTAGCTTTTAAACACACAGTAACCCCTCCAGTCAGCTACCATTGCTAGGCCACGCCCCCGATACCAGAACCCACATTGACAGAGGAAACTAAGATAGTGCTAAACATCAGTCACTGTTTGTAAGTCGTATTTAGCTGCCCGTGACTTCAAATTATGCTTTGGTTTTTGGGATAAAAAGTGAGCGTGTCATGAATGGAGGACCCAGGGAAGTGCGGCGGTTCAGTGAGACCGACAACCGGTTGGTCCAATTGTTGGTTTCGGGCACAGCTGCGTTACTGGCGGAAGTTTTTAGACAAATGCATAAGAACCACTTAATTCAATTTTTTTATTTCGCTTTAATCTGCACAAAATATTTATAGCTATACTAAGATGGAATATTAGGAGGCATGAAAATTATATTGTAAGCTAGCTTGTTTTCCAGATTTGCTATTGTAGCTTTGAAGCTCTCGTTCGCTCTTTTTTCAGTTAATCTGCTGTGATCTCTGGTGGTAATAAAGGCCTTTTGAGTCATTTTCTGTGAGGAAAAAAAACTCGTGAACGTTTTCACATTCAGCATGCATAAACGACTCGGACTGATGGGTCTCATTTTGAAAAGAACAAGTATCACAGTTTCTCAGTGAATGAGGCCTTTAAATGTCACTAAGAGGGACCAACTTTCCAGGGTCACCTCGGGTCACATTTGTACAGGTACGTGTGCTTTAATTATTTATATTTAATTATAAAGTTCATAATTGGTCAGAGCTAAATAAGTATTTTTAAAAATAGAGAAAAAAGCATAACCTATTTTAGCTGAACTTTAAAGATGTGGCGGTAAAATAAACTGATTTCTTTCTAGTCTAGAAGTCCTACTCCTCAGATCCGGTTGGACATCATCCTTGTGTTCATTTTCAGAAAGAAGGATTTCAGTTTGCACAGTCGGCATTGATTCTTCTTTTTTTTGCTCTTTCCTTTCTTATAAACACCATGATATTTTTCCTCTTCGTCGTCATTGGCCCAGGGAACCCAGGCTCCCCCGTGTCTGCTCGGATCAGCCCGCGGGTCATCCGGTGGGAAGTAGACCGGCACAGTAGTTTGATTGTAATAGGCGAGGCGGTCCAGCAGTTGTTTGACCACATCTGTCCGTTGGTCTGCCAGGTCATACCTCTCGTAAGGATCACCTGTGATGTTGAAGAGCCAGACCGTTTTTTTGTGGGTCAAGGATTTGTTGTCAAACGATAAGGATCGCTCGAGGTTCCACCAGCGACCCGGAAGGCTGGGAAGCATCTAGAGAATAAGAGTTTAGGGTTATTTCAGCTAATTTAAACCAGAACATTTAAAAAAAATGTAGCTGTACCTGAAGTGGGACCCAGTCTCCGTGTCCGGGATCTCCTGTCAGCAGCTTCCAGTCTCCGACTCGGATCGCAGCTTGCACCGACGTGTCCCACACTGGAGATGATTTAAACCCAGATTTGGCTTGAAGTGTTTCTGTTTGGGACGTGGTTTTGTACTGGCCTATCTGTCTGGACTTTGACTGTAACTGTTTAAGCAGCTTTTTTGATTTGTTCTGAGTTTGTCTGGACTGAGACAGGTTCTGGTTCTGTGATGTAGTCCGCTTGGATTTGGATTTGTGATGGGATGTACTTGATACAGACGGAGAACTACTCGAGTGAATCTTTGAATGTGGTCTGTAATGGAGCTGGGACTGCTGCTGGGATTGGACTTTGGTTTTGGGCTTGGGCTTTGGAGCGGGCTTCAGCTTAATTTTGGGAGGGGTCTTGGGCTGTTTGGACTTAGCAGCAGAACGTGGAAACATCTGAGGTCTCTTTGTGGTCTTTAACTTGAACGTTGATTTTTTATTCAGTTTCTGTTTCAGAACTTTCTTCTTCTTTGGTATTTTGAATGCTGCTCCTTTTGATTTGCTTGTTACTAAAAAAAAAAAGTACAAAGAAATGAGCCAAAACATTACAACCACTGACATGTCCTGCAGGTAAACTTAGATTCTTGGGTTGTAGGTTTGGACCCAGTCAATCCCTCAGGTCAGGATCAGTAATAATTTGGTAATTGGTGGTTTGATAGAGAATAAAAAGTCCAACCAACATTGAATAGAAAAGGAAGTCTCACCCTCTCATGTTTAACTCTCTGAAACAGATCCATGTACAGTTTCACTGGAAACTTTCAGAACACCAACGATCCCGCGCCTCGTTTCTACTGCGTGGCACGGTTTGAATCATTACATTATTTTCTCTGTTTCCATGGTAAAGCAACTCAGACAACTGACCGTTCGCCCGTCTGACATCCAGCCAACAAACACAGTCCCAAGCATTAGGGGCAGCAGTAGCTCAAGAGGTAGAGCGGGTTGTCCAGTAATTAGAAGGTTGCGGGGTCTATCATGACTCCCGCCAGAGAATGCTGCTGTGTCCTTGGGCAAGGCACTCAACTTGACTTGCCTGCTGCTGGTGGTTGGAGGGACTGGTGGTGCCGGTGTTCAAAAGTCTCCCTTCCGTCCGTGCACCCCAAGGCAGCTGTGGCTACATTGTAGCTCATTATTACCAGTGTGTGTGAATGGTTGGATGACTGATTGTGTTTTGAAGTGCCTTGGGGGTTGGAAAAACCTTAAAAATACAGATCATTTACCAGCCTGTCCTCTGTCTTCCTTTTGGTCTCGTCCCAGTTGGAAGTGCTCGGAAAACCTCACTAGGAAGGCATCCTGACCAGATGCCTGAGCCACCTCAGTTGGCTCCTCTCGATGTGGAGGAGCAGCGGATCTACTCTGAGCCCCTCCCAGATGACCGAGCTTCTCACCCTATCTCTAAGGGAGAGCCCAGACACCATGCTCTAAGTTCCCTCTGGGTTCTCTAATTTCCCTCTGGGATTAATAAAGTATCTTTGATTTGATGCAGAGAATACTCATTTTGGGAGCTTGAATCCACAATCTCAGTCTTTTGGTCACTACCCAAAACCTGTGGCCATAGGTGAAGGTAGGATCGTAGCTCGACCGGTAAATCGAGAGCTTCGCCTCCCAGCTCAGCTCTCTCTTCACCACGACAGGCCGGTACAATGCCTGCATCACTGCAGATGCAGCACCAATTCAACACATAATGTGACAACCCCTGAGCCCCCTTCAGTTGTTCAATTGTCTGGTTAGGGCAGAGCTACGGGTGTCACACAACACAGTCCATCGATTGTGGGACATAAAACATGACTGCTTGCGACAAACACGAGATAAAACCATAGTGATGATGATTCACGTCACGCCATTGTACACAAATGTGTGAGCTCCTTTGTTGGTAGATTACTTACTTTGCCACGGTACGCTTTTAGGTGTAACCTAGTCTGCTCAGTGAGAGCTCTTTAAAAACTCGTTAGAAACTCTCTCCTGAACATGCCAGAAAAATGGCGTACCAACCTGTGCCGTTTCACTTGGAGAAAGGATGCATAAACTACCTTCAGGAAGGAAACTAGCTTGTATTAACAAAGTTCCCATTCCAATTTAAAGGTCTGGTCCTCCATGTTTCTCTGTGGGAACTGAGTAAGCTCCCCAGATTTATTTGGTGTCATCAAGGACAAAAAGCTGTGCAGTTACACTTTTCCTCTGGTGTTTAACCTTAATTCCAATCAGGTACAACACCAACGCCATTCCACACATTAGTGAGGATTAGCTGTTTCATTTCCTCTTTTAGGAGTGAAACAATGCCCAAAGCAGAGCAAAAACCTGCGGTAATTCTAGAAAAATATTGGTAAAGAATTCATTAGTTATACACTGCAGCTGCTGAAGTATGGTGAGGTACATTTTTCTGTCTGCAGGTTTTACCAGAAGATTTCTTGGTGGTGGTGGTGGTGTCATCCCAGCTCATGGTGGCTGTAGGGGATCTGAACAGAGGGTCGATGTTGTGAAGGATCTCCTGTCGAGGAGACTCCTTCCCCTCGCTGATGGTGGGCCAGACATCAAAACCGTCCAGGCCTTGGCTCTGAGCCACAGACAAACACAGACACGTAAATCCTGCATGGCCTAATGAAAGGTTGTTTATGGGAACCGTTAAGTATTACAACAGTTTTGCCAAGAAAAATATTCCTAAATTTACCTGAAAGGATAAATAATGTTTTCCTGTGCGTTTATAAATCTTTGCTTAAGCAAAGGAAATGTGCTGGCATAATTAAAAAATACTTCTGAGTAAAAGAACGTTTTTATATTGGAATAAAATCAGTAACACGCTAAATAAATTACTTTAGGTGGGTCATTTCAAACTTTATCATCCTTCTTTTAGACAATTAGATGTTAGAAATATATGTAATAAATCTTTCTGAAGTACTAAAATTGGTATCAAACATTCCTAAAAACAGGAATCCTGACCTGGCTTAGGTTCCCACCGCCCAGTCGCACCAGTGTAGGGAACCAGTCGGTGATGTGGAGGAGGGCTTTAGAGACCCGTCTCCTTCTTTTCAGCAGCGGGCTGTGCACAAACGCCACTCCACGGACTCCGCCCTCCCAGTAGGTGCCCTGAAACAGAAGCAGTATATTTAACTCCTAGCAGCTCTGAAAATGTTAAAGAAACAATGTTCTGTCCGTCCGTCTGTCCGACAGACGCTCGGACGGACGTTTATAACTTTTCAACAGAAACACACTTTTAGAAGAAGAAAGAAAGAAAATATCATTTCCATAGCGCCTCTCAAGATAAAAATCACGAGGCGCTTCACAAAAACAAAAAAAAGTAAAAATATAAAAAAGCATTTAGAAAATGTTTAAAAATGTATTTAAAATGAGCAAAAATAGGCAATTGGGATTTAAAAGAAAAAATGTTAAGACAGAGAGTGAATAGGAAAGAGGGAAATCAGTGGATCCTGAGGAAGGTGGAATAGGTGGGGAGAGCAGAATAAAGAGAGAGTGGTTGAAGAAGGTCATACAAAAGCCAGCTTGAACAAGTGAGTCTTCAGCTGCTTTTTAAAGGAGTCCACTGAGTCCACTGATCTCAGGCTCAGGGGGAGAGAGTTCCAGAGTCTGGGGACCACAGCAGCAAATGATCTGTCACCTTTGGTCTTTAGCCTGGTGCTGCACAACCAGTAGGCTTTGGTCACTGGACCTCAGGGACCTGCTGGGGGTGTAGGGACTAAGAAGATCACCAATGTATGATGGTGCTTGTCCATGTAAGGCCCTATAGACCAGAACCAGGATCTTGAAATGAACCCTGAAGTTGACTGGCAGCCAGTGAAGCTGGAGGAGAAGCGGGGTGATGTGGGTGTGTTTGGAGGACTTGGTCAGAAGCCGAGCACAGGCATTCTGAACCACCTGTAGACGGTTCAGGGAGGTTCTGCTCAGACACGTGAAAAGAGAGTTACAGTAGTCTAAGCGTGAGGAGATGAAGGTGTGGAGAACTGTCTCATGTTCAGAGAGTTCAGAGTTTTAAAATGTCTTCTATTATTTCATTTGGTTGTACCTTTCGACCTCGTAGAGGCCAGTTGCTACCGCCTGTAAAGGGCTGAGCTCCGTTGTCAGTGGAGTAGATGATCACGCTATTCTTGTAGTATCCGTACTTTCTGAGAGCATAGGTGACGTTTCGAACCGCCTCGTCTACGGTCGAAACCATGGCTGCAAATTTCCTTCTGGCAACATTGGTCATGTCCCGGTAGGGGTAGATGTAGGACTTAGGGGGCTGTAGAGGAGTGTGGACTGCCTGTTGGAAATTATTTAACAAACTCACTTTAGAGGATAAGGATAGACCCAACCCAAACTCTTCCTTCTGATATCGAACCTGAAGGGAAAGCAGCAAGAAGAGTGGCCGCTTTGTCGGGTTATGGCTCTCTAGGATTTTGCGAGCTCTCTGTGTGAAAAGCATGGTGGAGTATTTTCCTTCATGACCCCAGGCAACGCTCTCATTGTCATGGAGATCGTACCCGCACAGCGCAGGACCATCACAAGACCCATAACTGGGCAAAAACAAAGAAGAAACAAAACATAAACAGGAATTCATCCCCAGCCTCCACCCAAAATAAATAAATAAACACTTAATTTACCTGTAATAATCTACACTTCCTGTTAGGGAACCAAAGAATGAGTCGAAACCCTTTCTGGTGGGCAGACACGTTCTCCTAGAGAACAAGTCAAACAGCCTGTAAATATCTGAAACTAGACTCGGCAAGTTCAATAGTTAAAAAAGATGTCTGTACTTCCACATTAATGCTTCAGAAACTTCTGGTGAGCACACGTTCACCTGTGGAGGCTCACCTGTAGAAGCCCAGGTGCCATTTGCCCACCATGTGTGTGGCGTAGCCAGCCTCATGGAGCCTCTCGGGAAGAGTGTCCATGTGTGAGGGCAAACAGCTGGGCTGTCTGGGTCTGATGATGGAGTGCTGCAGACCTGTGTGGATCTGATACCTCAAAGGAAAAGCAACCGGCGGTAAACCCTAAAACCAGCACCAGGGACTGTTTCTCTGCACAGTTGTTAGACATATCCGTACCTGCCGGTCATCAGCTGGCTGCGTGACGGAGTACAGATGGGCTGAACGTAGTAGTTTTCCAGTATCACTCCTTCTGCTGCCAGTTTGTCTAGCGTTGGTGTCTTGATGGTCGGGTTGTGGTAGCCGATGTCGTTGAATCCCTGTTACACAACGCCAAAGAGCTCTTTGTTCTGTCCATTGTGCTGTCGTCACATTTTCATGTTTTGTTCAACTGTCTGTAGTTTTACAGTATATCATTTTTTTAATAGGGGTCCACAGATGCTGCGAGCCTTTATTTATGCCCACAGTTCAGATTTAAGTCCTAAAAAACGTTTTGATAGATAATAAAGATTTTCTGATCCAAGTTTCTGAAAAAATAAATAAATAAATAAAAATAAATAAACAATTCCATGTCTGAGCCAGCTCTTTTGAATGAACTCGGTTTGGAGAAGTAGAGATTAGTTCTGATTGAATTGATAAATCAACAGCTGGTCACAAAAGCTATTTTTACTAAACTGCTGTTAATTTGCTACAACGCTGTGGCGCCATCAGGGACACTTAGGTCGTTTATAAGTGGTCAGACCGTGGCAGTAATGTGACATAATCATGTCCTTTTATAAAAATTTAGGCGATGGCGTTTCGATTATCTTGGACATAACTCGCTTTTTATTGCGATTGAAGCTGCGATCCTTAAAAAAACATCACAAGCCGCTCCTAAAGGTGTCTGTCCCCATCAGTCCCTGTGCCGTCTCTGATGATCTGAGCTTCAATTCAATTTAATTCAATTCAAAAATACTTTATTAATCCCAGAGGGAAATTGATAAGCTTCAGCTCTAACGGAGAGTTGCGGCGCTCCAGTTTGCCGTCTCAGTTGATTTTGTACAAAAAGCAAAACATATTGCCCATTTACTTTCATTTTCAATATATTTGCCGGCCGGAGCTCGGCATCAACTCCCCACGTCATCATGACACCTCCCTCTGTTGCACCACGGCGCAATAGCCGTTTATAAGACAGACCGTTACCGCAATACCACTACCAAGCGAGGTGGAACAAATGCAACAGAAGTCATGCAACGCCATGCCAGCATGGCACGTTTATAAGACACACCGTTACGGTAATATTACGGCGATTTGCCAGCATGGTGTGTCTTATCAAAAGGGCTAGAGAAGCCAAAAAAAAAAAAAAAACACCTTAAAACAGCTCTAAGCAGCAGGGGTGGGTGGGGACATGGCAGAGCAGTAATGGAACCAAAACACGGCGGCATGTTGGATGCCAGCTTTTAATGAGCATTCACATTTGTTCTTCTTTCAGCATTTTTTCCCTCTGGTTGGTGGCTACAGCCAGTGGGATTTATGCATGCACATACTGGGTACCCCTAACTTCAACACTCAATGTCACATTCATACTAGCTGTTAGCCTGTCGATCCAGTCCAGAACTCATCTTTGTTTCTACACCAGCTAAAAATGCATTTTCGTAGCCCAACTTCAGAGAATCTGAACCTCAACAGGACTCAGGAGTGTTTCACAAACTCACCTGATCATCAGTCAGAATAAATATGATGTGTGGCTGATTCTTCTTATTCTGTCCTTTTTCACTAATTTGAACTTCTCTGTCCATCAAGTCTGATTTGGACTGACGAGCTGACAGGAAGTCCAGACTGAGGAATGTAATCAGGACAGTCAAAGCAGCAGACACAGCCTTCATTGTTACAGCACGACTCCTGCAAGACACCCAAAAATGTTAGAAGAGGACAAGGACAGGGGAAGTAGGCATTGTTTCACTCAAATACACAGCTGGAGGACTGATCGCAGATCATAAAACCACATTTGAGACGGACTGGCCAAGTTGGCTGCAGATGTGAGCTGAAACACATCCATGTGGTGGAGTGAGAGCTAAACCTCGGAGGAGGACTTCTTAACCGTTTACGATGGCTGAAACTGAGTCACTCCAATAAAAAGTGATGAAAATATTAGGTGGGACTGTGAGCTGAAACCGGAGAGTCTGAATGTGCAGAGTGAGGAGTTCAAACCATGTCTTTGATCATTACCCTGCAGGAATGTGAAATCCTTTTAAGGATTTATACAAGTCGACTTTTAGCGGTGGATATAGGAAATCTGAGGGGGGAGGGGGTGCTAAAGGTCTAGGTGTTCCACAAAATATGTACAGAAAAAATAGTAAAAGTCAGAAAAAGTATTTAGATTCCAAGACTGATTAAATTTTAAGAGAGCGTAGAGAACATTTTTAATGACATAAAAGTAGGGGGGGGGGGCATCTTGGTGGGGGGAAAGGCTCTGCAGGAGAGGGGCGGTTACCACCACTTTCCCTCTACTGTAGAACAGCCCCTGGTAAATATAAAGTGTATGAAGCCCTTGCTACAACAGTGTTAACATTTCACTGCAACTGTAGTTTTATAAAAATACAAGGTTGTAAAAATACAATGTTTTAGTTGCATTCTATAGTTTTGAATAAACTTCTAATTATGCAAAATCTTATTTTAGGAAATGATTTTAAACATTCTTGCTGTCATCAGGTGATTTTGTTTATTGAAAAAGAAAGTATGTAAAATCAATTTTAACCTAAAAATCTCAACAAAGAGAAAAATGCATTTTATAAGAAGTGACATTAAAACCCGTTTGTAGAGAGTAGGGGGGAAGCGATCTGACTTGTTTAAAGAGTCCGAGCAGGATGTGAAGTTGATTTTATACACAAAACATGATGAAAAGCAGCTGCTGGTGAGATACTGGTGGACAATGGGACAGCTCACGTCCCATGTAGGACAGACCAGGAGGAGAAGCCAGAGCTGGTTTATGCATCATGGGAGTAAAAATCACACCATTGACACAAACGAGAACACAATTATCATCAGCGGTTGTTTTTGAGGCAGGCCTGGATCAATACCTTGGTAAAGGATCGATGGATGTGATCGGCTCTCCCCCTCCGCTCCGCTCCTCTCCTCCTCCTCCTCGCTTTAGTCCATTCTCCTCCTCGTTCCTCTTTTCAGCTCTGGTCGGAGGTCAGTTTGGAAGAGACGCCGCATGTCCTGAACTTTTCACCGAACCTTCCTTCTTCCAGCCTGCGCGTCTTCGCTGCCGAGTAACCGGAGCGACGATGAGCTGGAGACAAAATCACACACAACACCGGGGCGGCCTTTCGAAATAAAAGACTCTAGCGCCTCAGACCACTCCATCAGTGTAATCCAGCCCTCAGTGTGCCAACTGTAGTTTATTGTCTCCACACACAATAATGTGTTAAAGGTGTTATTTTTAATACAATGTTTTATAAATAAATAAATAAATATTTAATTGTATTTAGCAAAAATCAGACATGGTTTAACAATTTTCAGCAACAGTTGCGGCAAACAAGCATTGACTATCCTGCAGCCCATTTGTTTCTTACAAAAATTGGATTTATTATGCAGTGATGACAAAACTGTTGGCTTACAACTTATTTCAAATTGTTCTATATTTAATAACATATTTATTCATTTATTATTTTTAAGCTCTTATCTATGCCATTAATTCTCAACACAGTCAGTTATATTCTATAATATTATATAGCCTATTTGGAGTTGCTGTAGTTTTATTTATATTGTAAGAATGAAGTGCAGTTGAAAACTGTTAATGTGGAAAAATAATTATTTGTAAAAAAGTATTTTGTATTAAAATATTCTTGAAGATGTAGCACCCCAAACATCACCATTATCGTTATCTGTTATAACGTATAAAGTAATGTTGACTTGAAAGAAAAAAAATCATTTATTTGTCATAGCACAAAAGCGTAAAGTTTTCATATTTTTAGTTTTATTTTGAAATTTGAATTACTCAACATCCGGTATCCTCACGCAACTTAACAGGGGAAACGCTAATAAAACTACAGCAGAGTTCACTCGACGCTAATTAAGAAGCGCTTTTATCTGCGGAGGTCCGCAGCGCGGCTCCCCGTCGGAGGCAGCGGGACCGCGGACGGAACACCAGCCGAGTTCGAGTCGGTGCTAGCAAGCTTGGGCTGCTCCAGGAGAGCCAGCTGGCGCTCCGGAGGAAACCAGGAATGTCTGCTGCTGGCAGCTGACTGCACAGATGCAAAAACATCCCAGAGCACTCAGGATGAGGCAGAAGATGTGAGATTAAGCAGGGAAAACACGCGCAGAACTTCAGGATAGGCGAGTAAGTTATAGCAATAAAAATAACAAAGATGCTCGTGAATAAACATGAGCAGAAATAGTTGGAAGTGGTGTTTTATTTTAATGTTTTAACTGATGCATGAGTGGAGAAATGTTTCAAAAATAAAAGTCTTGAAGGGATTTTTGTCTGGTTTTGTTTAATTGGTCCACACATATAAATGCCTTGGTGTCTGGCTCCATGACTCCCTCTCCTTTAAGCCCTATGTAGATACTCTTGTGAAGAAACGCAAACTCAGGGTTTCTTTCTTTTTTTTTTTTTAGAAATAAACTGTTTTTCTTTTTAAGCAAAAAACGACTACAGTTACATTTCTGTTTATTCTGGATTATGGAGCCTCAGCGCAGTGTCTTGGTAAGATTGATGTGGTTTATCACGCCTCGCTGAGGTTAATTACCAACTGTAGACCACTGACCCATCATTGTGAGTTGTATTCTCCAGTGGGATGGCCTTCTTTGGCCACCAGGAGGTTGGGACATTTGGTACACCTTCATTTTTAAAGCCATGCTTGGATTACTACCCACCTCTGTAACTAATTTTACAGAGAAGTGTAACTTCTCACAGCCTGCGTACAAATGATCAGCTGTTACGTTGTGTTTCGTTTGCTCACACCGAATGGGGCAAAGGGGCTTTCGTTCACTCTGCCCCTTCTGCATGGAACCGGCTGCAGGAAAACTGGACATTAACCGAGTTAATCTCCTTGATTACCTTTAAAACCAGACTGAGAGCCCTTGAGACGGACTCCCTGTGTCGTAACTGCCTTCTGTAATTTTTGTACATAACAGTATGTGTAACTGAAACATTAGTAGCTGTAACTTCTGCTGCCTCTTGGCCAGGACTCCCTAGAAAATGAGGTTTTTAACCTCCATGGTACCTTCCTGGTTGAATAAATAAATCATTCCAACACTTTGTGCTCTAAGGGTCTGGCTGTGTTTAATCTGATTGTCTGAGCTGCTGTAGGATCTGCTAGAGGTCCCACTGGCAGGGAGCAGGAACGTTGTCATGGTTCCCTACGTCGTTTCCTGACGTTCTGGTTCAGAATGGGGCTGTTTTTAGGAGGATGAGCCTCTTTGGTCTGCATTTGTCTGTTGAGGTTTTATTACCAAACAAGTCTCTCTAATTTGTCATCTTAATCTTACAAGCAAGGGCGTCAGTTTGTTTTCAGAATTGCTGGGGACAATAACCATACACTTGAGTGGGGTTTAAAAATTGCTGGGGACAATATAGGCTAGCACAGGGGTCGGCGGCTCTGTAGCCGCATGCGGCTCTTCCATCCATCTGATGCGGCTCTCTGTGCTTGTAAAATAATGAATGGATATTTAAATAAAAACCCAGCGCTTTGGGCTTCCTGACAGGGTTGCGGAAGGCGCTTTATAAATAAAGCTTTGATTGATTGATTGATTGATTAAAAAAGCTTTATATTTTACTTCATTAATTTTACAGCTGCATGCTAATTCTAAATGTAAGGATTGTCTGCGTAAACCTGAACAGTTCCAACCCGGTCTTACTGTGAGACCAGGTTGACGCGTCACGCTTGTGCGTAATCATATGCGCTTCCTGAGCTGGAGGATGTCAGATTCTGGGATTCTCCTCAGACGGCTCCTGGATGCGTCGCCACATTGGAGACAGGAACAAGCACTATTCAGCCAAAGTTTCATAATCAGGGAACATTTTCTAAGTGACAAGTCTCTGAGAGACAGGGTTTGGAAAACACTCGCTTCAGTGGGAGGAACCTTCTCACATGCGCTCTGGTTCTGAGAGCCTGGATTTGTATTCTGAACAGTCTAAACATGTTTTTAAAAGAAACGTATGACAAAAGTGGCACCTGCTCAGTAAAACCACCAACAGGGTGAAAAATGTCAAAATATCGTAGGCAGAGACGGGCTACAACTTCTGGATCATCTTTATATAAATCGTTTTATTGATTATCTTCTTATGAAAGATAACTTTGACGTACACCAGCGACCAGGCGCGTTGCAAGATTTTCAAAAGTGTGGGAGATGTTGTCTGTGCCTAAAATAATTTGATGTTGTTCATCTTGTTAGTTTAATTTCCATAATAGCGGAGCAGGTGCGAATTTTAGACGCGTCACTCATGTCTCCGTTTTAAACATGTTTAAACTGTTCAGAATACAAATTCAGGCTCTGTCTCGTTAGATTGGTGTAACTAAAGGTTGTACTGAATGAAACTACATTAAACCATGTTGAAAAGAAAAGGATCCCATTAAATCATTTCCCCTCATTTACAGTCACGACGTACAGCGCAGTGCGCGTGGCTCTGGGGTTAATCAAGTTTAGTTGTTTCTCTTTGCAACAATCTTCACAAGAAGGCAAAACAGTTAAATGGCAGCTTACAGATATTTCCATTTGACTGTATTTTGATGGATAAACTCAAGGATGCTGGCTGTTTTGAAAGAATTACCCCGACGCACACTGATGCGCATGGATGAGCTTGGAAAAATGTTCTTTTTATGAAATTATTCAACTTTGGCTGAACAGCGCTTTTTCCCGTCTCTAATATGGAGATGCATGACGCATCCAGTCTGAGGCAGAATAGCAGCTCAGAAAGCACCTGTAGAGACATTTGATTACGCACAAAGTTTATGTGGAGCAGAAGCGGTCGGGCCACGGCAGGTGAAATGTTCCTAGCCTACATGAAGTGAAACTGTTTAATTGTAACATTAATATGTTACTGGACATGCTGGTCTGGTTGGTTAGACCAGTGTTGGAAGTGGAAAACACACACACACACACACACACACACCAATTAAAATAATGCTGATAGCATGGACTAGAAGACAGGTGATGGTTTTATTTAAATGATGATCAGGCTGCTGTAAAATGTAATCTCCATCCACATCCAGACAGAATGATCCTCTATTCTATTTGCTCTGCTCTTGTCTGGACTGATGTAGCTGATGGTGCGCGCGGCGCGCCTAACGGCTGTGGTGCGCATTTTACGCATTTGGAGAGGTGGGCTGGATGCTTTGCTTTTACTGGAAGATGGTCCACTTAACGCACGGGTGTAGACTACATATTAATGACAAATGAATGAAAATTAAATTGGGAGTTTTTACTTCATATTTTAGAAATAAAAATGACGGGGTAAAACATTTATGACATATTTTTAAACGAAAATTTCTAGAGCGACCTGCCTGCTTCACTTAAGTCACTGCTTATTAAGGTTCGTCCAATATTACCGTGGCCCACCCAAAAATGAAAACCTGGCACCGCGCCTGTTATAAACCTCTGCAAATGGTTGTTCTTCACTTTATCAAACTCAGACTTTGTACAGCTAATGTCAAGATGTAAAATTATGAATTCAGTCGAGCTCTTCCGTCCCTCCCTCTCCTGCTCTCCTGGAAACCCGACATTGGCTGTCAGAAGCGGGAGGTGAAGAAGGAGATGAGGCAAACAGAGTGAGTATGCGGCGGCATAAAGAAACCAGACTGGTGTGGAGGTGAGCAAAACAGCTGGAAAAGTGTGGGTGTTGAATCCCCACGGTGCGATGTCCATGCGAGCGACCGGTACCTGCTGCTGTCACCTGGTTGTGAGCAGCTCTCTGCTGTCTGAGGGTAGGCTCCGCCCACAACGCTGCGGCTACTGCTGTGTTTTCTTTACTGTGGGAAACGGGTAATAATGGCTCTTTGATGGGAATAGGTTGCCGACCCCTGGTATAAGATCTGAGCTGGTAAAACAAAAATCCTCATCAGCAGGCTTTTTTGAAAGTGGGGGGGACACAGCTGCCAATCACAAATTTTGCCGGGGACATGTCCCCGGCGTCCCCGGTTAAAATGACGCCTATGCTTACAAGTCCTCTCAAACGGAGTCCTGTGTTTCCTCTTGTGTTTGTTCTGTAGTTAAAAACTTATATTTTCTAAGATTTTGTCCCAATTTTTATCATCTATGTCATCCTGCTGGATTTTGGCCACGGTCCTCATAGATCTACAGTCTTAGATCTTTTGTTTAGAAGCTCCCAAGTGTTGTGCTCTGATTGGTCACCTTGGTTTTTAGGGTGTTGTTTTGGGACTCTGACCAACTTAACCCTGACCCTGGTCCTGTCTCACTTTGGGTTTATTCTTCTTAAATCATCTACTGTGTATTTATTATTGTGTCTGTTGGAGCTATTTATACTTTATTAGTGTTATTTTTGTGTATTTTCTTTAAATTTGTGATTAGTTCACTTTATATTTTTGAAGCATTTATAAAGTTTATTTGTAGATTAATATTTGTTTATTTTTGTAGTTCATTTTGTTGTTTACCTTTGTTAGTCAGCCAGGAAAAATCACCGGGTCATTTTGTACAAGTAGGCACTGGTATAGGACCAGCATGCACTGGGGTGGGTGTAGTTTTTTTTTTTTTTTTTTTTACCAGAGCAGGAGAAGCAGCAGGAAACAATGGAAAACAGGATCTGTGTTTTATTGCTTGCCAACCTGGAAAATTAACCTTGAAGAAAACGCAGCTTTCAAGTTTGGACATTGAACTTCTTCTGCCTGCATACAAAACGTTACCACAGCGCAGCAGTGGCTTTTGAAGCTGGAAAATATGAAGTGAGTTGACAAACAAAGGAACTGCCACTACATAAAGTAAAAAAAAACCCAGCCCGTGGAACAGAAGGAATGTTTCCTCCCTGATGGACATGTTGCAAAGGTGGATCTTGAGGATCGTCATCAAACAAAAGATTGGATCTGATCCTTTTTGAGGAATTCAATTAAGACTTCCTGCTTCAGGCCTGGGTCATCATGTCGCTGACTCATCAAAGCTGGTGAGTGAAAAATGTTGTTTAAACCGTAAAGGAAAACGGTAAAAGAAGATTAAAGACAATATTTTACTACAAACAAAGACTGATGATGTGCCAAGCCGATGCATAATTGGATGTTTGAAAGGTGACAACGCCCTTTGTGGAAATGTTTGCTTGCTGCAATCTACACAATCCTAGACAAAGAAAAGCATCTGTGCTTTATGCTAAGGATTCTCTGAGTTCTGTACAGTTTTAAGTGACAGAAATAATTAATAAAACTGCTAAAATGTCTGATGTCAAAAGTAAACAAGAGGATGACACTCAAATGCTGAAAGAGAAAAGAAATATAAAATTCACACCAAAAGGTTTGGAGCTTTACTTTAAAACATGCCAAGAAAAACAGTTCAATATGTAAACAAAGCGCAAAGTACATGGAGAAAATATCCAATTTAATGACGTCACATGAAAATGTTGAAGTGTCATCTGATTTTGCCAAATTTATTAAATGCTATCAAGACGCAGCAGATGTGCATGAATCATTTTAAGTTTGCCATTGTCAGAAGAGGAACTGAAAAGACAAGCTGTGTACTTCAAACCCAAGGTGAAAGCGTTCTCTGAATTTAAAGAGCAAGTCACCCCTACCAGATTCTCACTCAACTCCCACTTCCTGTTTGAAAAATGCAACAAATGCTGTTGCCTAGCAGACTGAGAGGGTGGAGCCGCTAACAAATACACACACTCACGACATTGTGACATCATAATGTACCATCTAACATCATAGTGTACCTCTTAGCCAATAGCGACGGCAGATTTAAATTCAAATGCAGAGCTGAGTTTTTACCTGACGACGGTGCAACACCGACAGTTTTAGGCAGAATATTTAAATTTTAACTAAGATGCACTTAAGTGCCGAATTATTGACTGCACGTGTCTGTAGCACGATCAGACACTCATTTATATAGTTTATCAGCAAAAAAAAAGTTAATTTGGAGTGACTTGCTCTTTAAGGACACAGTAAAGGTTTGGTTGCAGGAAGCAGGCAATCCCTTCAGAACAAAACAGATGTTTCTGTTGATCAAGTTGCTGAAAGTCCAGATGAAATAAACCCCGAAGACAGTGTCTCCAATATTTCAAGTGTAAAACTTCGATCAAAAGCCTCTTCTCAATCCAGAAGATCATCTACGTCTTCTGCATGCATCAAGGCTGCAGCTGATCAGGCAGCGAGTAGCTGCGTTAAAGAAAAAACATTTGATTGAAGATTAAGAGGAAAGGCTGAGAAAGAAAACAGAGAAATTAGCTTTGGAAACAGAGTTGGCAGCAACCAATGCAAAGCTTCACATTTTGGAAATAAACTCAGTTTGCGGTTCAAAACGATCGGATGGAATGAACTCTTATTTTGAAGGAGGCCACATACAGAAGCTGACTCAGCTAAATCCTAATGCAGACACATTTACTCCAAAAGAACAAGATCATTCTGTTATAAATCCTGCTTTTTAACCATGAGTAGTCCAACCCAAACAAAAACAACATCAACCTCAAGTGGAAGTAAAAATGAAAAAGGTTGATGCTCCAGCTCAAGCAACGCAGCAAACTTTGCGTCCATGTTCACCTTTGGCCGAAGACTGTCAGAAGGATATCGTGAACATAATGCAGAAGCAAAATGATGATGATGCAGTTTTTTCTATTGTTGCAGTTCAAGTTAAGAGTCAAAAGAGCAAAACATTGTACAAACGTGTGCATTTCTGGATCCTGGAAGTTCAGGTACATTTTGCACAGAAACTAAGGCAACATTGTACAAGGTAAAAGGACAAATATTCTGCTGAGAACAATGAGTCAAAATAAAATCATTAATGCACAAGTTGTATCTGGTTTGGAAGTGTCTGGGTTGGAGGTAAAGGAGTTCATTGAGTTACCAGATGTTTTGACTCAAAAGTCCATGCCAGTTTCCACAGTGAATATTCCCAAACAGGAAGATATTGATCAGTGGCCTCATCTGAAACTCTTCAAGCTCCATCACATTGATGCAGATGTGGAGCTACTGATTGAACTGATGCTTCAAATGCTCTACAGCCATGGGAGCTGATCAACAGTGTGGATGGTGGACCTTATGCTGTAAAGACCAAAGTTGGTTGGGTCATGGATGGTCTTTTGCGCATTGGAGTTAACAGCAGAAACAAAAATGAGTGCACTGTTACAACGGCCAATAGGATCTGTGTGGAGCATCTTAAAGAAATGCTGGTTCAGCAATACAATCATGATTTTAATGAACGATCCTCAGAGGAGCAGACTGAAATGTCCAGAGAAGATCTGCATTTCATGGACATTGTTAGTAGCTCAATAAAGCTGATTGAAAATCATTGCCACATGCATTTACCTTTCAAGAAAAAAGGTCCTAACTTGCCAAATAACCTCTGTGTTGCACATCAGCGTTTTCAGAGCCTAAAAAGGAATTTCGAAAAGGATGCTGTCTACATGAAGGATTGCGCTGCATGTGTGAAAACCATGCTAGAAAAGGAACATGCTGAAGCTGTGCCGGCAGATGAGCTGCAGAAAAGTGATGGAAATGTGTGGTACATTCCTCATCATGGAGTGTACCATCCCACAAAAGGCAAGCAGAGTTGTATTTGACTGTGGAACAACTTACAAAGGAGCATCATTGAACTGTCAGCTTCTACAGGGGCCTGACCTCACAAACTCATTGGTGGGGTTTCTCCTTCAATTTAGGCTTGAACCTGTTGCAATAATGGCTGACATCAACACCATGCTTTACCAAGTATATGTCTCAGGAAAGCATGTTGACTTTCTAAGATTCCTCTGGTAGCCTCAAGGTGACACTGCAGAGCCTGCACAGGAGTACAGGATGAAGGTGCACCTGTTTGGAGCAGTATCTTCACCCAGCTGTGCAAACTATGCACTGCAGAGGTCTGCAGATGACAATGCACAGCAGTATCCAGCTGAAGTGGTCAAAACAGTCAAAAGGAATGTTTATGTGGATGACTGTTTAAAATCTGTTGCTTCAGAGGAAGATGCAATGCAGATAGTGAAGCAACTGACTGATATTTGCATTAAAGGAGGATTCCAGCTTTCCAAATGGATCAGCAGCAGTCACACTGTGCTCATGTCAATCCCAGAGGAAAGAAAAGCAACTGAAGTTGAGAATCTGGACTTGGACAACAATCAACTTCCAGTTGAGAGAGCACTAGGCTTACAGTGGTGCACAGAAACAGATCAGTTCAAGCTCAGAACCTCTGTGCAGGATCGTCCACAAACCAGAAGAGGCATGTTGTCTGTGGTTAGCTCTCTTCACGATCCGTTGGGAATCTTGGCTCCCATCATTATGCCAGCTAAGCTGCTGCTTCAAGAACTTTGTCAACAGAATTTGAAGTAGGATGAAGCTGTTCCCCACTTTCTCTCCAAGCGATGGCGTAATTGGCTGGGCGATTTTCAGCTGATTTCAACCTTTGAAGTGGAACATTGCATCAAACCAAGTTCCATTGGAAAACCAGACAAAGCTCAACTTCATTAAATTTTCAGATGCAAGTCAAGACGGATATGGAACAGTGTCCTATTTAAGACTGGAAAAGGATAACATCTCACATGTGGCCTTTATTCTGGGAAAAGCTAGAGTTGCTCCTCTGAAGCAAACTACAATCCCCAGGATGGAGTTTGCTGCAGTTCTTGCAGCCCGAGTAAACAAATTGCTGCAAAAGGAGCTGGAAATACAGCTGGAGAAATCTCTTTTCTGGACTGATAGTACCACTGTACTGAAGTACAACTCCAATGAAACCAGAAGATTTAACACCTTTGTTGCAAACAGAATTTCTGTTATTAGAGAAGCAACAGATGTGAACCGATGGAGATAATTTCCTCAGAGGAAAACCCTGCAGATGACGGATCCAGAGGCCTGAGAGCGGAGGACTTCCTTAAAGGTGGAAGATGGATACATGGTCCAGAATTTCTCTACAAGTCAGAGGACGAATGGCCTAAACGGGATGTCGATCACAGTGCAATTTCTGTAGATGACCCTGAGGTCAAAAAAGACCTGACTATGAGTGTTATTGAAGAAGCTGCAAACCAACTGATTCATTACTTCTCATCTTGGACAAAACTTAAAACCTCTGTGGCCTGGATTTTAAAGCTGAAAAGGATCCTGCTGCTGTTGGGACGGAAGAGAAAGGAGTTTGTTGCTGTTGCTACCGACATAAATAAAGCCAGTCTGGAGACTCAAAAGACAGAGGTAGAAAAGAACATGGAAAGATTTAAGTCCACTCTGAAGCAAGAAAATCTAACTCCAGAAGATTTGGACAAGGCAAAACAGCAAAGGTCTTAAGCGTGAACCAAGACACAAAAGGATTGGTCCGTTCGGTGCGACTACAAACGAAGACCAGCATTTTGGAAAGACCTGTTGCAAAACTTGTTTTGCTACTGGAAGCATCTTCCTGAAAACCAAGATATCAGCAAGGTCTAAGAGCATGTTTTGAGGAAAAAGCTCCTTATTTTGAGAACTTTAATTGTGATTCCATGCACAATTAGGGGCCGGAGTGTTGGAGCTATTTATTTGTGTTATTTTTGTGTATTTTCTTTAAATTTGTGATTAGTTCACTTTATATGTTTGAAGCATTTTATATGTTTGAAGCATTTATGAAGTTTTTTTGTAGATTGATATTTGTTTATTTTTGTAGTTTGTTTTGTTGTTTACCTTTGTTAGTCAGCCAGGAAAAATCATCGGGTCATTTTGTACGAGTAGGCACTGGTATAGGACCAGCATACACTGGGGTGGGCGTATGTTTTTTTTTTTTTTTTTTTTTTTTACCAGAGCAGGAGAAGCAGCAGGAAACAATGGAAAACAGGATCTGTGTTTTATTGCTTGCCAACCTGGAAAATAAACCTTGAAGAAAACGCAGCTTTCAAGTTTGGACATTGAACTTCTTCTGCCTGCGTACAAAACGTTACCACAGTGCAGCAGTGGCTTTTGAAGCTGGAAAATATGAAGTGAGTTGACAATGGAACTGCCACTACAGTGTCCAAACATCAACTGTTGTATTTCTAATCAATTAGCTAAAAATGTTATTGTTCAAAGACAACAGGCAGTAATTTATGTTGTTTAGAAATAAAACTTAAAGAGCAAGTCAACCTCTACCAGAGTCTAACTCCACTCTCAATTCATGTTTGAAAAATGCAACAAACGCTGTTGCCTGGCAAACCGAGAAGGTGGAGCTGCTAACAAATACACACACACAGGCTCACGACAGCATTGTGAGATCATAATGTACCAGTTTACATCATAGCATACCTCTTAGCCAATAGCAGTGGCAGATTTAAATTAAATAAAATACAGTGCAGAGTTTTTACCTGACAATGGCACAACACTACCAGTTTTAGGTAGAATATTTAAATTTTAACTAAGATGCACTGAAGTGCCAAATTATTGACTACACGTGTCTGCAGCACGATTAGACACTCGTTTATTTAGTTTATCAGCAAAAAAAAAGTTTATTTGGGGGTGACTTGCTCTTTAAATGAACTGAAAAAGAAAGATAATGTTATTTAAAAGACACAACATCCAGATTAATCTATTAATTTAATTAACTAAAAGCTTGCTTTGATTGTTGAACAGTGACTGATTTATATTCACCCAGATGTTTAAAAATATATTAATTATATTTACATAAAAATACAAAATAGCTGATGAAGTGTGTTTAAAAGACTAAATCTGTGGTCAGTTAGTTTAAAGTTGGCCTTTAATCAACAACAAAAGATGTTTGTTTTTGTCGAACATAACTTTTAGCTCAGGTTGAGGCTTTTGTGATGTTTAGAAGTAAACTCCACCTCCCATGATGCATTTCGTGTGTGTTTATGTCGATGGTACCACCTCTGCACGTGCGCCCGCTGCTGCTGGATAGCGAGCGTGAAGCGGACTGTGACTAACTGGGATAATTTCGTGTTTCTGCAGCCGGTTTTCCACTCGGTGCAGCGGGACGACATGGCCTCGGAGGACGACGACGCGCTTCTGTTTTTAATCTACCAACACCTGAAGGTTAACGGCTACCGGAGAGCCGCCAAGGCGCTGGAAAAACACGTGACTCAGGTGAGAAGTTTGCTGTGGGAAGCCCACTGGTACCATTGGTCTGACTTAGGGAAGTTTTAATTTAGTTTGATGATTTTACACTAAAATTCGAAGGTTTTACAGATTATATAATCCCATGAATTAAGCAGGAAGGAGCTTGATGTTTGACATCAGCTGCTTCAGGTGTTCTGAGACCAGAAGAAATGTTCCAGGAGCTGCTTGGTCATTAAAACCAGCAGGTCTGCTGCTACAGACCAACATAGTAAAATACATATAAACGTATTTGTCAGGCTGCTTAAAGATCACCTTAATCTCAGGGTGTTTTTTTGTTCCCCACATGTGGTTATTTATTTTTAGAGATGCATCGCTTTAGTTTACAAGAGCCGATACCAGTTTCTGATACAGTTCCAGCTCTGACATGTTCTATATCTGTTCTAATTCATCTCAAAGATCTATAATTAATAGAGTACTTAAATTAAAAATAATCAGACGAGCTAGAAAAATGTTATTCTGAAGTAAAAGCACCCGTCCATATGGATGATTCGTTGTTGTTGGCATCAAAGAGCAGTGAAGGTGAGTCCACAGACTGGGAAAATTGGCCTGTTTCCTCTAAGGTAACTTACGGGTAATTTTATCAGACCTTCGGTTATTTTAGAAATGTGCCCAAAATGGTCGCTGGGCGGGAGTTGCCGTTACCCCATGCTGATTGGTTGCAACTCGGTAGGAAAGGATGTCACTAAACAACCAACATTTGTAAAATGTTCTGGTGCTGGTAAAATATCAGAGATCCCTCCACAACGTCTCTTTACATCACACCGTTTCTCTTTTAACATGTCCTCTGAACAACGTAAAGTATGGTGAACTTTGACCATTTCAATGTCATTAATGTTTCTGTGATGTAACAGTCGCCGTATATTCTTTAAAGGGTTTTTGTTGTACGTTTAAGAGGACAGAGCCATCGTATCTCACCTTTACCTCTACCAGAAACGTCCCTGAACTCGCCTACCAAAAAACACAAATGGTTCGGCAACCACCCCCCCCCCCCCAAAAATAACGATTCAAAATAAAATGTTGCACCCAAAATTAAAAGTTTTTTTTTAACTTTCATGATTGATTTGGTTCAATAGCTTCTGACCCACACAGAACTACCAACGTGGGAAATAGTCTGAACTGCAAAGTTAAATGAACAAACTCCTGTCTGTTTACAGCCTTTTAGTTTGAACTTTGACATAAAATCTAGTGGAACTTCTTTTTATCAGGGATTTTTAAATTTACTTAAATAATCAAAACCCCCAAAATGAGTGTTTTCATAACTCCAACTTTTATTGTTGGTGTGCAGATGCAACACTCGTCTTTAAACCATGAGTCCTGCTTCATTCTTCTTGCACACACACGTTGAAAGAATGTGATGAATAAGTATTTTAGTTTTGCCCCGAGGAACCTTCAACTCCAGTCAACCAAGATTCAGCCATTCATAAATGTGTCCTCATTAAAAGGTTCTGACAGAATCACAGCAGCATCACTAACCTATATAACCAAACCTGTCTGACTGCTGCTGTGAGCTCCTTACACACACACACACACACACACACACACACACACACACACACACACACACACACACACACACACACACACACACACACACACACACACACACACACACACACACACACACACCCTGTTGTGTGTGTGTTATGTAAGGAGTCACATCTGGTGTCGTAGAAGCGGCACTCATGGGGCACATAGAGCTTCTCTCTGTTTATGTAATACTTGGGTTACATAAATGTTAGTATTTGATTTAATTATTTATATACACTCACTGCCTACTTTATTAGGTACACCTGTCCAACTGCTCATTAATACAACTTACTAATCAGCCAATCACATGATGGCTCTCATGCATTTCGGCATGTTGACCTGGTCAAGACGATCCGCTGTAGTTCAAACCGAGCTTCAGAACAGGGAAGAAAGGTGATTTAAGTGACTTTGAACGTGGTATGGTTGTTGGTGCCAGACGGGCTACAAACTTCTGATCTTCTGGGAGTGTCCCACACAACCATCTCTAGGGTTTACAGAGAATGGTCCGAAAAAGAGAAAGCATCCAGTGAGCGGCGGTTCTGTGGGTGAAAATGCCTTGTTGATGTCAGAGGAGAATGTCCAGACTGGTTGGAGCAACAGTAACTCACATAACCACTCGTTACAACCAAGGTAAGCAGAAGAGCATCTCTGAATGCACAACACATGGAACCTTGGGGCAGATGGTCTACAGCAGCAGAAGACCACACCAGGCACCACTCCTATCAGCGAAGAACAGGAAACTGAGGCTACAATTACACAGGCTCACCAAGATTGGACAATAGAGGATTGGAAAAATGTTGCCTGGTCTGAGTCTCAATATCTGCTGCGACATTTGGATAGTAGGGTCAGAATTATCAACAACACAAAAGCACAGATCCATCCTGCCTTGTTTCAATGGTTCAGGCTGGTGGTGGTGGTGTAATGGTGTGGGGGACATTTTCTTGGCACACTTTAAGCCCCTTAGCACTAACCGATCATCATTGCAACGCCACAGCCTACCTGAGTATTGTTGCTGACCATGTCCATCCCTTTATGACCACAGTGCACCCATCTTCTGATGGCTACTTCCACCACGTCATAAAGCTCCAATCAGCTCAGACTGGTTTCTTGAACATAACAATGAGTTCACTGTACTCAAATGTCCTCCACAATCACCAGATCTCAGTCCAATAGAGCACCTTTGGGATGTGGTGGAATGGGAGATTCACATCATGGATGTGCATCCAACACATCCGCAGCAACTGTGTAATGCTATTATGTCAACATGGACCAAAATCTCTGAGGAACATTTCCAGTAGGTTGTTGAATCTTTGTCACGAAGGATTAAGGCAGTTCTGAAGGCATAAGGGGGTCCAACCCGGTACTAGCGAGGTGTACCCAATAAAGTGGCCAGTGAGTGTGTGTAATATAATATTTATTCAGGTGAGTTTAAAAGGGAAATATGGAAATAAATAACAGAATGGTAATGTTGAAAGCTGCTGTGTGTTTTTTTTAGTCGGAGACAGAGGAGAGTACCAACCTGCATGACATGTACGCTGGATGGATGAAGTAAGTCAGATGAGCTAACCGTACCGATCTGAGCACACAGGAACTTTCTAGTATTTCACAGTATGGATTGTGTTGTCAGACCGAAGCTCGAGTTAACATAAAGAGCCCGTCTGTGAAGCCAAAATAAATAAAAACAGACCCAGACAGCTCAGGCTGGATAAACTGTGTCTGAGCAGCAGTGAGAGTCCTCTGGTGAACCAAACCTAGCCCCCCAGTGCATTCTGGGATTGACCTACACTCCAGTCATCCTGGGGATTAAACAGGCAGCGATAAATGACATCAGTCTTGTTAAAATTAAGTTTCTCTGTGAATTGAGATAAAATATTTTTATAGGCCTGAAGATGTGATTTAAAAGGTCCTTTCTGAATTAACTTTGAAGTATATTAATATTCCTCAATAAATATTACAGTATTCATCATTTAATTATAGAAAACCAGCTGTTAACACTCATCAGAGGGAATTAAAACGTGTTTGTTTTGTAGGACTCAGGAGTCAGAAGAAACAGAAGATTTAAAGAAAAGGAGCATCAAGCAGGAAGCTGTTGGCGGCGAAGACGAGTCTGCAGAAACCAAACGGATCACCGTGACAGAAGACGCAGACATCAAGCCTCTGATTGGTGTGTATCGCTGGATCCCTTACATCTTTATTCATCCTTATTGGTCTGAGCTCCGTTACTCGGATTAAAACATTAATTTCTTCTTCCAGAATGTCAGACGGGTGATGTTGAGTCATCCAGTCAAACCGATGCTGCTAATGAAACCCAAAAAGAGACGACTGACAGCGAGAAGATCGACTCTTCTGTCGATGACGTTGAAGAAGAGAAGGAAGAGATGAACTCAGAGAAAGAGGTGAGATCTTTTATACAGAATGAGTCTGGAGGATCAAACAACACAGGCCACTGTAGGACCGGTCAAGGCAGACATGTTTGTTTTATTTTGGTGGCTCGAGATTAGAGGTCGACCGATATGTAGGAGACATGGTCAGCTGATGGCCAATGTGTGCTGCTGGTTTTCAGACAAAGATTCATGGCTGATATCCAGACAATTTCCACCTTATTTTCATGCCAAAATCGGACTAATAACATAACTGTTAAATCTGAACTTTGAGCATTGGGGCTGAGGGATCTATCGTTTTTGGACTGAAATTTTAATTGTAAGTCGTTCATGTTCACCATTTTTTATCACAATTGTCCAAAAATGATTTCCTAATCCCTGGATTGTCTGCATCCTGATCACGTGACGCGTGACACACATGGATGGAAATCAACTAGCCGTGATGTTTACTCAAGGTGTGCAAGCTCGTCCCCAGGCCCGCCCTGTAAAAACGCAACCGACAACTTTAGTGATCAGTGGCAGTGAATGAGTTAAGAGAAACTTCATGGGATGGACCGAACCCTGGGTCTTATCAGTATTTAGCACCAAATCAGATAAAAATCTGAGATCTGATTCAAAAACTCAGTAAGGGCCTGGTGGGCGAAACCACAAACGAGTGGTTTTAGAGTTTTGCAATCTGGATTAGGAAAACCAAGAATACAATGTTAAAAAGAACTGTAACTATTAATTGATTAATAGGTCTGAAGGAAAAATGGTCGCTACTCCTCCTCGTCCTGTACTTCGAGCAGTATGATGATTTTAATAATTAGGAGTTGACTTGTTTAAGCTAACATCCTCTTGCTGCAGCCAGGATTATCACAAATCAAGTCATTAACAAACAAAGTCTTTGAAAAAACACTTAAAACACCTAAATTCTTCTTCTGGCACTCGCAGAGTACAGACGCTTCTGCTCTTGCTCCCTTATCTTTTTTCCCAAGGCTCTTTGTCCTGTCTGCCTACAGAGCGCTTCTCTGCATTTCTTCTGGAAGTCCCTATTTTTTGGAAGATGGACTTAATTAACTGGTCATTCAACGCGATTGATAAAATTTTTTCTACGATGAGAACGGAGGAGGGGGCTCCCACTTGCCCTCAAGGGACACACGCAGCGGGGCATTTGCTCGATTCCTGGAAAGAATAGAGGATCGTATGCCTCTCTGTTGTCCATTGAGGATGTCGAAGATATGTGGATGTTTGGCCTGATGATCACTGGATTTCTTCTGATTGTAGTGGGAGGATATCTGGTTTTCCGGAAATTTGGGAAGATGGGAGCGATTGGAGGGCGACCCGCACCCACGGAGAGCACCGCCCGGGCGGATGCCTCACAGACTGGGACGTTACTCGAGGTGAATCGTAAGCTGGACAATGTCCTAGCTGCGTTACCGGTGTTAGTGCACAAAATGAATGTCATCTCGGAGAGGGTCACCGGACGGTGTGGAGATGTTTAAAACCTAAATTGGCTTCACTGGAGGACTTGAATGATCGGTTACAGACTGAAGGTAGAGAGGAAAATTATCTCTGCCTGACCCAAACAAAGTCTTGTTATCCAAATCTGACGCCAAGGCAGCCTTCAAGCTGCTAACAACAACCCCCCACAAAGGAAGGAATGCAGACAGATGCTGTGAAAACTCGTTCCCGCAGAGTGCATGTCTACTCCCGCCCGCAACCGCAAAACTCGGAGAAATTATTACCTCATAATAAAAGAGATGCATTGAGTCCTCAACATGTCATTTTACCAGGGATTGGCAACCCGCGGCTCTCTGTGCTTGTAAAATAATGAATGGATATTTAAATAAAATGCTTTATACTTTACTTAATTAATTTTATATCTGTAAGTCAATTCTATGTAAAGATTGTCTGCGTAAACCTGAACAGTTCCAACCCAGTCTTACTGTGAGACCGGGTTGACGCGTCACGCTTGTGTGTAATCATAGGCGCTTCCTGAGCTGAAGAGGATGTGAGATTCTGGGCTTCTCCTCAGACGGCTCCTGGATGTGTCGCCACATTGGAGACAGGAACAAGCGCTATTCAACCAAAGTTTCATAATCAGGGAACATTTTCTAAGTGACAAGTCTCTCTGAGAGACCGGGTTTGGAAAACACTCGCTTCAGTGGGAGGAACCTTCCCGCATGCGCTCTGGTTCTGCAACGCGCTCCAAGCCCCTCTCCACATCTTCAGCTCGCTGTGCACCGTATGTACGCGCTGACAGCGAGCTGCGCTGGGCAATGTCCAGCTCAGATGTTCAGATGGGAATCTTTTCTTGGGTGTGTCTGCGATGTGCATAACGAATAAAATGTCAGTTCGTCTGCATGCGTCGGGGTAATTCTTTCTATTCTTTCTCCGTCAAAATAAACTGTCAAATACGGGAACTATCCGGTCCACACAACACAAGCCCTGCTTTTAACAGTTTTTCCGTGACGGTAAATGAGGGAAAAACAAATTGATTGGATCCTGCATGTCTTTTAACACATTGGTCAGGATTGACGCACTCTGTTTTCATTTAGTTGGTTAAAAAAAAGTCGGGCTCGGGTCAGGCCAGAGAATCCTGAAAACCTTTTTGGGCCGGGTCGGGCAGGGGCTCCACCCCCTCGGGCCGGGCCGGACACGGGCTCAGATTTTAGGCCCGTGCAGGGCTCTAGTCCAATCATGGCGTTATATAGATTTCATGGGCCAATCGCTACACTAAGTAGGTGGGATGTTTTTGGAAATAAAACAAACGTGACTAGTCGGCGGTCAGCCGCTTGTTTGAAATGGCTTTGACATCAAGTTTAGACTATTATGACTTAAGCTTTTGTTTGAGTCAAGATCAGATAGAAGTACTAACGTTTATTTAGGAAAAGGATGTGTTTTGCATCTTCTTTGACAGAGTTTGGTGGACTGCCTCGTTGACCGACATCTGTAGCGGTGAGTACGTCATGGCTTGCCAGGCTAGAAGAAACTGAATCGATGCCATCACGCAGGTATCTAGGAAATACTCAATACCAACGTTAGATCGATACTGTCGATATTTTAGATCGATCCGCCCAGCCCTAATCCGCAGCGGTGCTCCCAAAAACACTAAAACCACTGCAGACAAAGAAGATCAAAAATTGCTTTTCTCGCTAGTTAGTACATATCTATGGTTGGTTCAATTGACGTCCTGATTTTCCCCCAGACTCTTCCATATCAGAGTAGGGCTGTACAGTACGATGAAAAAAAACAAACAACGTCTGTGTGTGTCTATTTTTAAATGTATAACTGGTGCAACATCTTTGAATTACTATTTTCCCCAGAACTTTTATTGAACAAAAGTAAGTTACGTGTAAGAAAAATGCTTTTTACTGGCGCACAGTGTGGTCATCTGGATGCAGTGGAGGAAAATAAAGGAACTAGCAAATGCAGAACCGGTCCAAAGTTTGGAATCAAAAGTGCAGGTACACACAGATTGGCTAATGCTAAAGCTAACAGGTAGCAGTCTCACGATCAAGTGGCGCACAGAAAAATATATGATGATGGTAAAACTAAGAAAGACTAAACTCTACAAGCGGATGAAAAGTCCCCACCATCCTGTTTATCCTGCATCCTGCAGCGCTACAGATCAGAACCGCTGCAGATACGAGTCACATTTGCAGGAAGTACGGCAAGCCGTTGTAATATAATTCACAAACGCTTCGATCTTTGAACATAATTTAAACTGGATTATTGCCAACCCGTACATAATAGACATGCCATCATTACATTGATAGCAGCAGAAAGTAAATGTTATTAGCATTTCCAATACAAATGCATGTTAATGAAATGCATTATATTTTACTGGATATATTTATGTGTTATTTTGACTAAGATGAGTGTTATTAATACAAACCTAAAATGTTACTGAAATGTAGGTCAAATATTTAAAAATATGTTTACTATACATATCAGATGGGAAAAAGGGAACTAAACACCAATCTAATGCATATTATTGAGCCTTTTATAATAAGTCTGTTATTTCAGCCGGATAATTTTGTTGTTTTATTTCATACTTTTTAGCTTCTAACTGAGATGCGCTCTGCTTTTTCCTTCCTGTGGGCAGTCCCAAGCCAAGGTGGGCGGGGCCATGAATACAAATTTTCCTTATGACGTAGAAGAGACTAGCTTTTTCCTTTCTCTTTCCTTTCTGCAGCTAATGATGGGGTTAGAGAGCATTTTCATAAGTGACTGATCGAACAAATATTTACTTGGACTGCAACACCTTAAACTCCACTGTAGTCTGGATTATTTGGATCTGAATATTGAAGAAATGAGAGAAATGGCAGATTTTTTTTAAAAGCGTCTTTTACACATTGGAGCCTGTAAATCAAGGCTTCAGTAATATTTGTTAAAATATAAAATATATCTTTGTACATTTATTTGGATGCATGTGGAGCTACTGAAACTTCTTTTAAACACATTTCTCCTAGGAGTCCTTTATGGCGCTCACACATTAGCATCGGTACAGCCGGGTACGGTCTCATCATGGAGGACCTCTTAAACGCTGCCCACGGGCTCGGGGATTTCCACATTCCTGCAAAGTCCCTCATGTGGGATATTATTCAGTTTAATTTAATAATTATAATTGTGCGATGTTGATGAGAAGCATTCGAAGCCTTAAAAATCAGGTGGAGACCCACATCAGTTATCGGTACCAAGATCTAAACCGTGATAATGGAAAATAATCCAGAGTTTACAGACTTCAGTAGGAAGTTTATCAGAGCAGCATAAAGCCGTCGTGAATAGAAATGCATAACTGGTGTCCAGTCAGTGTAATAATGTGTCTGTTACACGCACACACACACACACACACACACACACACACACACACACACACACACACACACTGAAGGTCCTGGAGCTGTTGGTCTTCTCTGTTGTTGTTAGATTACGTGTGTGTGTGTGTTTCCATCCACTGATGCCGCTGATAACAGCTTGGTCGTCTGTGTGACAGAACGATAGCCTTCAGAGACGACGTGTGTTTGTGTAACCATGACGTCAGCCTCCAGCAGTTCTTCCCACCACGGCTGGGTACCAGATAACTTTGTTCTCGACAGTTGAAGTTTTAGCAGATTCAAAGATGTTTGCAGAGCTAAATCAGAAGCAGAGATTATTCTCTGGTTGTTTTTTCCAGACGGTTTAATGAAATCTGACCTCCGGGTGATTTGCTGCACATGTTGGACACATTGATCCTAAAAGGAAACAAAAGATGTTTTTGATTTGGTACATGTCTTCATCTCTGCGTGTTTTTAAAAGGAAGATGCGTTCTCTTTAAAGTTGAGACGCTGAGAAAGGCACCAGATGCAGGAAATGAAAACGGAGGTCAGAGAAATCAAATTTTTATTCTGTTACAAAACAGGAAAGGAAGATTTTTGAGTTTCGAGGATTAAGATTGCTTTTGTTTATAAAGGGAAACCTAGAAAAGGACTGAGTCAGCATACATTTGTTTCTGTCTGGGGGTACGTCTCCACAGGGAAACGCCACAACACCGGCTTCACCTTTCAGCAGTGGCAGACCCGCTAATCCAGAGAAATGGGAGACTTCCTAGTGGCCCGGCCGTTGGACGGGCCAGGAAAGGTGGAGCAGAAAAGAGAGATTGAAAGAGAATGAAGCTTTGGCCACAGATGCATGTTCAGTCTGGCCTGTATGTGATCCTGTTAGAACTGGTTTCAGCTGAGTTGTTGGGCCAATTTATTTATTGCTGGGTGCAATGGGGAGGGAGAAACAGCGGTCATCAGGAACTGATCATGATGATCAGATTTTCAGACTCATCATTTTTGGGGACAGAGTTCTTGGGACCGGTTCCAGTACCGCCACCACTTATAACCTTTCAGCTTACCGGCACTTTTTTCTAGGCTACAGTGCATATGGTAAATTTTATGGGTATTCATTTGTCGACATCTTCGAGATTTCTGAAAAATGTCTGTTTGTCCTCAAAAATCAGTTGTCCAGTCTGCCACACGCTCCACGAAGAGCCGCACCGCGTGTCACCAGCTCAGTCAGGATTTAAAAAAAAGTTTTCAGACACCGTGTGCATTCCTGCAGCAGCTGACCAACCAGTGGTTAAATGCTCTGACAGGCAGGTAGATGGAGGAAGAGAGACAAACGGAAATATAGATCATGAGCAAATGCAAGAAATAAAATGTCAAAAGAGGAGTGAAAGTTAACTTTTCTGAAGTCATAAACATCTCAGCTAATAAGTATAACAGCTAATAATAATAATATGTTTATTTATTTAGCAGACGCTTTTATCCAAAGCGACTTACAATTTATAACCTGTAGGGCATGTTGTGATCTGTGGGGGAAACCGGAGTACCCGGAGGAAACCCACGCATGCATGGGGAGAACACGCAACTCCACGCAGAAAGGCCGCAGCCCAGTTTCGAACCTGCAACCTTCTTGCTGCGAGGCAACAGTGCTAACAACTGCACCACCATGCAGCCAATATAATAATAATAATAATAATAATAATAGGGGTTGAAAAGCTACGAACCAAAGACAATTTAAGCCAGAGATTAAGGTTTCTGCATTTAACAAGAAATTCCATAATGAAGGAAATATTCTGGATCAGCACCATGATGGCTGTAGTGTGTGTGTGTGTGCGTGCGCACGCTTGTCTTCATATGTTTAAGTGGACACATTTTAACTTTAACATAACAATTGTGGGGACATTTTGCTGGTCCACACAATGCTAAGCACCCTAAAACCTGCTTTAGAGGTATGGTGTTGATTAACCTTTAGTCTAGGTTAGGATTAGGAGTAGAACCCCATTGCTTATGGTTATGTGAGCTGTCTGTAGTGAGCGCTAAGCTAGTTGGGTTGTACACCTGTGCAATGACTATAAATGATCTTAAATCTTGAACACTGTTCAGTGTGCTCCTGGATGAGTGGCTTTACCAGCTGGTATCGGAACAGGACTCCTTACTGGGAGATGATCAAGAATCAAACCACTTGGATCAAAATATGGTTGTAACATCTGTAGATAAGTCAGCTTTAAAAACTAAAACAATGACTTATGAACTAACATTACCTTCTATTAATTACACTAAATGACATATTTTTCCTGGTTTATATTATGTTGTTTGAACCCAAGGTTCTCAATATCTGAATTTTCAAACTTGTTGGATCATGAATCTGTTTACACATTTTGCTCTCTGTGCCCCTTTTTTAACTTTGAGCACCCGCCCCTTCAGAGGTCTCTGCATGGCCCTGCTGCTGATGGGAAGTGAATTATTTTTTTAATCCTGATTATGTTGGGATTAAAACTACGATGCAGCTCATCGTTTATGTGATTTAGCTAAGTTCCAGTAAAAAATGATTTATTAGTTTTTCTTTAGCAGAATTAAATGCATCTATGTGTTCATGCAGCTGCTAACTCAACTACATCTATGGTTTATGTTGCAGCCAGATCCTCCTGAAGCTCCTGCTGAAGCTCCCAATGATGCTCCTCTTCCTGATGGTGATGCTCCTCCTGATCCTCCTCTTCCTGATGGTGATAATCCTCCTGATCCTCCTCTTCCTGGTGATGCTCCTCCTGATCCTCCTCTTCCTGGTGATGCTCCTCCTGATCCTCCTCTTCCTGATGGTGATACTCCTCCTGATCCTCCTCTTCCTGGTGATGCTCCTCCTGATCCTCGTCTTCCTGGTGATGCTCCTCCTGATCCTCCTCTTCCTGATGATGATACTCCTCCTGACACTTCCAACAAGAAAAAAAGCTCCAGCTTTTCCTCTTCAGACTCGGAGGAAACACCTGAACACCTTCAACATGACTCCAGACCGACTCAGCCCGAGGAGAACCAGAGGCAGGTGAGTTGCTGCAGAATTTACCTCCACTCTGTGTGTGTGTGTGTGTGTGTGTGTGTGTGTGTGTGTGTGTGTGTGTGTGTGTGGTAGGGCTGGGCGATATGACGATTTTAGACGGTTTTACGATCTACACATCTGACGGTCTGTCATTTTTGAGAGACCGTTTTATCACAATTCACAGCTCTGCTGTTGAATTTCTGCCTCTGAATGAAAATGGAACTTACCTCCGGCGAATGACACGCCTTTGTTTGACCCTTAACCAATCAGAGTGAGTCATAGTAATATATTAGTGTCCCGCTTGTTTTCACCTGTGTGTGAACAAACATGGCTTCGGCCGCGGCTGAGCGACAACGAGGTTTTTGTTCCGAAGAGGAACGCCTCGTTCGTTATAAGGAACTGGTTTGGTTTTTCACCAGATGACAAAGAGCAGCGAAACGTCATTTGCAAAGTTTGCAAGGAGAGCGTCAAGGCAAGTGATGGCAACACCACAAACTTGTTTAATCACTTGAAAAGAAAGCATCCCAAACAATACGAGAGCCAGCTGGCAGCTAAAGCTAAAAAGCCTGCGGCTGCAGCTGCAGCGGCTAGTGCTTCTTCCAGGCAGCAAACACTAACAGAAACCCTCACAAAACTCACTCCTTACCACAGAGACAGCAGACGATGGAACAACGTGACAGATGCATTGACGTACCACTTGGTTAAATATTTGTGTCCCGTGCGAACAGTTGGGAGCGGGATTTAAGAAAATGATAAAAACATTGGATCCGCGCTACGAGTTTTCCAGCCGCAAGTATTTTTCGAACACCGCCATTCCGCGCATGTACGCAGAATGCAAAGAGAGAGTTGCAGAAAATATTCAGAATGCGCAGTTTTTTGCTACCACAAGCGATCTCTGGTCCAGCCGCACATCAGAGCTGTATTTAAGCTTAACTATCCACTACATGAGCAACTGGGAGCTACATAGTATTTTGAACAAGTTAATGTTTGCACAATACGTTTGTAATTGACATGTTTGCACTTTAAATATGTTTACGATTTTAATTTATGTTAAGTTACTTGAAAAACGAGAAAAACTGATTTTTGTAATTGTTTCTCTCAGGGCTTTTATCATCTCTGGTGTGAGTTTAAAATATAAGTGTGTTAGCACTGTGCTGATTATCCCTAATATGTATAAATGTTTATTTATTCAATGTTTCTCTTCTTTAATACGCAATTGAAGTTATGCTATTCATGGATAAAAAATCGTGATATTCTATTTTTGCCATATCGCCCAGCCCTAGTGTGTGTGTGTGTGTGTGTGTGTGTGTGTGTGTGTGTGTGTGTGAATGAATGAAAGCAGGAGCCTTTAAAGCAGCCTTGAACAAATTAACCAATATGTTGACAAACAAACTTTTAATTTTTTGGTGGAACGTCGTTTTAATATCTGTACTTCTGTGTTAAGGGTTCTCCACAAATTAAAATCAGTTAAACTGAAAAGTTTCAAAATGCAGATTTTCACAGAATTTTTTCATTTAATGGAAACATTTAAATGTAAATAAGCAACAAAACATTTTTTACCTTTTAATTTCAGCCTGAAAGAACCAGGAAGTGATTATTAAAAATTACAACAACGTAACACCCCCCAGGTAATTTTACATGAAGACCTTAGAGAGCACAACTGAGGTCTTCGACCTGTTAACCATAGAGAACCATGGCTTTAGATCAGTATATGGAGGTTTGTGAATTTGCCATTTGGCTACATAAAATAAAAATGTGGTTTTTCTTCAGGTGGGGTCGGTAGAGAACAACAACATACAGACTGCTGCTACAGTATTAATATCCCTTTTAGAAACAGCGCTGTTTCCAGCTGTTAAATCTACGAAGTACAATAAAGTACATTAGAGAGATGCTTAAACTACGTTAAAGGCAGAAGCTCAGGTGGTAGAGCGGGTTGCCTCATGATCGGAGGGTCATGGGCTCGATTCCTGCTCCCGCCAGGGGTATCCTGCTGTTGTGTCCTTGGGCAAGACACTTCACCCAACTTGCCTGTGTTAGTGGTGGTCAGAGGGGCCGACGGCGCCAAATAGCAGCCTCGCCTCTGTCAGACCTCCCCAGGGCGGCTGTGGCTACAAGTAGCTTACCATCACTAGCAGTGTGTGAATGTGAGTGTGTGAAAAGCATATTTGGGTGTCTTGAAAAGTGCTATCGAAGTTCAATGCATTATTATTATTATTATTATTATTATTTATTAAAGGCTTTATTCTCTTCAGGAGCCAAAATCTGCTGAAAACGTTCTCGTCCTCTCAGATGGAGCTTCTGCCACGACGTTCTGCTCTCAGGAGGTTCTGTCCTCTGAGGAAGACACAGCTGCTGAGGTACGGCAGCAAAAATAAAAACATCTGGATTCAGAGCCCGCCTCCTGCTAACATGTTGATTTGTCCTTCAGGCTCAACCTGTCTATTTAAACCTGATGGCAGGAAGTGAAGCCCCACCTCCTGCAAGTAAGACCAGCCAGTCGTTCAGGGTTCTCATCACGCCGACAGGTGACGATTGGCTCAGATCGTAGTAGTCCTCAGTTCTGGATGCTACTGAAACAATACATGCAACATAAGAATCTGCATAAACTAAACCAGAAGTGTTAATCTGGAGCTCAAACCCAGAGAGACCAGATTAAAAATCCCATAAACTTGACGTTGAGTTAGTTCTATACGATCTAGTTCTATACCCACATAAGTTTAATGAAAGTTGTTGTTATTGTTGGTGTGCATCAGCTTATTTCTTATAAAGATAAAAATCACTAAAGATTTTTATCATTTTCAGACGTTGCAAATCAAGAAGAGGAGACGTTTGAGGTAAATTCAAGTATTTGCAAAGTTGAAACCAGTCATTTAAATTATTTGTTGCTGCATCCTGGCTTCTGTCTCCCCAGAGGACGGAGGACCCAGCTGACCTCGTCATTCTAACAGGTAATGCCTCAGAACCAAAATCATCTGGTTCTGTGGTTTTTAATTACAATAGAAATCTTTTACTTACAATTTGTCTCTACTCAGTTCCAGTTAAACTAACTGGACCAGTATGGTCTGCAGGTGTTTGCCCATAAAAATAATCCAACAAACACAAATGTGGGTTGAATGTTTTAATGCGGAAAGGTAGAAGTGAAGTAACAGAATCTTTCAACTAAATCCTTGCAGAGGCAGAAGACGTCTCCATCATCACGAACACCCAGAACGACGACGGAGGACCAGCTGAGAAGGAGACCTGTGAAGAGGCAAAAACCCCCAAAAGGAAGAAGAAGAAGAAAGGCACAGAGACGCCCAGAGTCACTGATGCACCCTGGGAAACTCCTCTGAGCAGCAAAGCAAAACAAGAAGGGGAGGGTGAAAAAGTAACTCCAGAGAAGAAAAAGAAGACTAAGAAAAGGAAAAGAGAGAAAGGCGATGTAGAAGAGCAAACTGCAGCCACTCCTTTGGAAAAGAAGATTAAAGATGAAGCTGGAGAGAGAGAAGGGGTAGAGGACAGCCCTGGAGAATCAACACGAAGAAAGAAAAAGAGAAAATGGGAAAAGGAGTTGCCGTCTGAAGAAGCACCACTAGAGGGTGGCAGAGATGAGCTATCAGAGGTCACAGGTGAGTTTCACACACCTGTTCCAGAATCCGTGTTTTCATTTTACACAACCTGAACAGCTTGTTTGTTTCTTCTTGCTTAGATGGAAACTCATCAGCGCTCTCCTCGACCAAAAAGAAAAAACGCCTCAGGACCAAGCTCAGCCGGAGGAAGAGATTAAGACTTCAGATGAAAGACAAGATGATGAAAAGGAGGTTTAAGACGAAGAGCAACAGCCAGTCTGCAGGACAGAACCTCACCGGCAGAAAAAAGTCCGTATCTGTTGTTCTGAAGCATCTTCTAGACAACATCTCACTCAACAGAAGCTTCAAACTTGTGTTTCAGACAAAAGCTGATCCAGGAAGAGACGCCCGAAAGAGCCGAGGCTGAGCAGCACGAAACTCTAAAGAGGAGAAAAAAGAAGAAGCCAAAGGTGGGGCATGAAGAAAGTTCATCCAAGGAAAACCACCTTCCAAAGAGATCAGCGGAGGCTCCTGAAGCTGACTCAACTATGACTTCAAAAGAGAAGAAGAAGAAGAGAGGGGCAGAAGACAATCCAACGCCTGCAAAGAAAACAAGTGAGACCTCAAGCTTTTTTCTTCATTAGCAGGTAGAAAAATAACCAAGCATGTTGATGTTTCCAGAGCAGGACAGAAGAAAGTACCAAGTGGAGCCTGATGAAACTCCTCCAGCTGTTTCTGTGGTAAGAATCATCCTTACACTCTTTTAGGATGGAGTCACCTGCTAGCCTGGTTTAGCCGTTCTCTTGTCTGGGTGTGTTTGAAACAAAGACTCAGAGCAGATCGGTTTATCAGATGGTGTCCAACCCCAGTTTCACACTGCAAGCATCAGCGGAATGGAACGGCAGCGAAGCGGCACCGCTTCAAATAGAATCCAATTATACAGGTCATTCTCAAAAATTAGCATATTGTGATAAAGTTCATAATCTGTAATGTACTGATAAACATTAGACTTTCATATATATTAGATTCATTACACACAACTGAAGTAGTTCAAGCCTTTTATTGTTTCTAATATTGATGAGTTTGGCATACAGCTCATGTAAACCCAAAATTCCTATTTAAAAAATTAGCATATAATGAAAAGGTTCTCTAAACGAGCTATTAACCTAATCATCTGAATCCACTAATTAACTCTAAACACCTGCAAAAGATTCCTGAGGTTTTAAAAACTCCCAGCCTGGTTCATTACTCAAAACCGCAATCATGGGTAAGACTGCCGACCTGACTGCTGTCCAGAAGACCATCATTGACACCCTCAAGCAAGAGGGTAAGACACAGAAAGAAATTTCTGAACGAATAGGCTGTTCCCAGGGTGCTGTATCAAGGCACCTCAGTGGGAAGTCTGTGGGAAGGAAAAAGCGTGGCAGAAAATGCTGCACAACGAGAAGAGGTGACCGGATCCTGAGGAAGATAGTGGAGAAGGACTGATTCCAGACCTTGGGGGACCTGCGGAAGTAGTGTACTGAGTCTGGAGTAGAAACATCCAGAGCCACCGTGTACAGGCATGTGCAGGAAATGGGCTACAGGTGCCGCATTCCCCAGGTCAAGCCACTTTTGAACCAGAAACAGCGGCAGAAGCGCCTGACCTGGGCTACAGAGAAGCAGCACTGGACTGTTGCTCAGTGGTCCAAAGTACTTTTTTCGGACGAAAGCAAATTTTGCACATCATTTGGAAATCAAGGTGCCAGAGTCTGGAGGAAGACTGGGCAGAGGGAAATGCCAAAATGCCTGAAGTCCAGTGTCAAGTACTCACAGTCAGTGATGGTCTGGGGTGCCAAGTCAGCTGCTGGTGTTGGTCCACTGTGTTTTATCAAGGGCAGGGTCAATGCAGCTAGCTATCAGGAGATTTTGGAGCACTCCATGCTTCCATCTGCTGAAAACCTTTATGGACATGAAGATTTCATTTTTCAGCACGACCTGGCACCTGCACACAGTACCAAAACCACTGGTAAATGGTTTACTGACCATGGTATTACTGTGCTCAATTGGCCTGCCAACTCTCCTGACCTGAACCCCATAGAGACTCTGTGGGATATTGTGAAGAGAAAGTTGAGAGACGCAAGACCCAACACTCTGGATGAGCTTAAGGCCGCTATCGAAGCATCTGGGCCTCCATAACATCTCAGCAGTGCCACAGGCTGATTGCCTCCATGCCACGCCACATTGAAGCAGTCATTTCTGCAAAAGGATTCCGGACCAAGTATTGAGTGCATAACTGAACATAATTATTTGAAGGTTGACTTTTTTTGTACTAAAAACTTTTCTTTTATTAGTCGGATGAAGTATGCAAATTTTTTTTAGATAGGAATTTTGGGCTTTCATGAGCTGTATGCCAAAATCATCAATATTAAAAACAATAAAATGCTTGAACTACTTCAATTGTGTGTAATGACTCTAATATATATGAAAGTAATGTTTATCAGTACATTACAGACAATAATGAACTTAATCACAATATGCAAATTTTTTGAGAAGGACCTGTAGTCTATGGAGTGTTTCAGAACAGCTGCGACGCAGCAATTTCCAGGAGCGTCCCAGAAGCGGCATGCCACGCCGCTCCGCTAAAGATAGGATCGAGTTCTATTTTTTCAGTGAGCCGCTTTTGGGACACATCAATTTCCACAGTTCACAAAGTGCAAGACAGGAAACCACACACGGTTTCAGTGTAAAATCCCCAGTTATTTTCAAAATAAAATGCAACGTTGCAATGTTATGTATAACTTACGTCAGTACATGTGACCAAACGGCTTTGTTTACCACCAGTTTCTTTCGAGAAGTGCAACGGTGTGATTCCTCGCGGGGGTTGTGATCTCTCGTTGAGGAAGGTGTCGGAAGTCTCGAGAGATTTTAGAATCTCGCGAGGAGTAGCGAGGAAGTCGTGCTGCGGCCAAGACTCCCCCGGTGTGAAAAGGACCGCTTTAAAGTTCACGAGTGAGCCACTCCGCTGCTGTTCCGTTCCGCTGATGCTTGCAGTGCGAAACCGGGTTAATAGCAGCGAGGAGAAACAGAGCAGTTGATCTACTTCAACTGGTTTAATTGGTGATAAGTAAATGAAGTTAATTAGTTTGATCTCAATAACTTGTCACCAATAAAAATAGTTTAGACCAACCGCTCTGTTTCTCTATGCTGCTGTTAGACACAGTTAGAAACCAATCTGCTCTGAGTTTTTGTTTCAAACACACCCAGACAAGAGAGCTGCTCAACCTGGTAATTAAAACTCTATATTACCTGTTTGTAATCCTCTACATGTGTCAGTGATGCTGTTTGGTTTAACTGAACAGCTGTGCCACGAAGGTGTTACAGCCGTTGTGGTTCAGATGTTGTTTGAGTCAAATAGCATAAACAAACTGTCACAGGTAACAAACGTAGAGGTTTATAAACAGGTGATGTATTGTTTAAAACACCAGGAAGTATAACTCCACACAGAAGACCACTTCCTGTGTCCAGGGGCTCAATCATGGTGTTTAAGACATTTGATTGCCTCCACAGAAAAAGAAGTCCTTCAATAAGAAGTAGAACAGACTTGGGTAAGGAGGAGGAGCAGAAGTTTATGATAAGTGACTGTAATTTTTATGTTTTGCCAATTAAATGTCACATATGCCCCCCCCCCCCCCCCCCCCCCCCCCGGAGTGACCTGAGGGTGCCCATTAGCATACGCACCGCAGCATTCTGGACCAACTGTAGTCTAAAAAGACAACCCTGACTCACCCCGATATATACACCATTGGAATAGTCAACTCTCGAGGTGATAAATGCATGCTTGAGTCAGTTTTCTTAGATGGAAGGGGAAATGACTGATGCCCCATTAAGAGGTCATTTCAGGCTTGTTCTCATTTATGCTCAGAGAATTGGCAGCCATCCACACTTTGACCTCCTCAAGACACTGTAGAATGCCTGCCACCCTTTTGACTTGAGCATAAATTTGACAATCGTCCGCGTAACAATGAAAGGACAGGCCATATTTTCTACAAACGACACCTAGAGGAATCAATTATAAGCGAAAAAGTAGCTGGCCAAGTCCTGGGGCACACCATATTTGAAAGAAGCCTCCTTGGAGCAGACGTCACCAGTGGCGGTGCCAGGGGGCGCTATAGCTACCCCTGGATTAGTCATTGTGTTGCAAGTTCCCACATGCCAAAGACAGTGGCAAGAAACGGAGTCAACAGGTGGGCCACAGAGATAAGATTGGACCCACACTGCGAGGTTGGACCTCATTTTCCACCTGCGAACGAGTGAAAGGTAGAGCTAGTGTTAAAATGGATCGGTTTTTGTTGCCCAAATTTCCACAGGTCCAAAGGTCAAAAGAGCTCAGAAAGCAACACACCAAGCTGTTTTAAAGATGTCATTTTAGACTTGGTACTACTTTATGACAAAGCACATCTATAAGTCTGCTGAAAGGTACAGGGCAGCCCCAAAGACACCTGCTTCCATAAACACAGATGCACACGTTAGCGAACCGGCATAAAACACTGACAGCAAGAGTAAAAAGTAAGCACATCATGTTTGTGCAGGAGAGATCGGAGCTTGTCCAAGCGATGAAAGGCTTTAAGTTGACAGACTCGGTTTTTAATTTAATGTATTCACAGAATCGCTAAACCTGAGCTGCCTTCTGCAGGAACAGAAACCTACTGAATCTGATCAACACCAAACACCTGATCTTCCAAAGCAAATCGCTTTGAATGACCTTCTTTCCTCCTGCAGCCGTTTAATACTGAAGTCATTCAATCTGCAGTGCATGAACAGGAGGAATTGGGCTTATTAAATGTGTTCAGACCGTAAAAGTTTAAAACATTTAAGAAGATTTAATCAAGTAAAAAAATCTTTCCTCATTCAACATCTCAGGCTGTGGGAGAAACATGCTAACCACTTCTTAAAAAATACTGAAAACCTGGAGGACATTAATAAAACCAGTCCCCACGCCATCTTAGATCAGTTCACCGCATTCTAAGAGAAGTATCGGACCGGCCACCCGGACTTCCTTTTTAAGCAAATAACCAACAAGCTGGATACAATCTGTTGCATTTTACCAACCAAGCAATGGTTCCTTTCAGAATAAAAACTGAACTCACTGACCCTCCGGGTCCATCTGATGCTGTCAACCAACTGTTGCTTTTTACCTGGAGACAATCCAAAGACTAGTCTGTCGTACTGCTGACGCTGTTTCATCGGCTCCGGTACTGAAAGGGGGGTCCGAGGACCTGACATTCTGGATCTGTATGGAGGTCTCATCCTGAAGGGTATGTGTGGAGCGACAACATGGTGTCATGTGTTTATGAAACTCCGATCATAGCTTAAGAGCAAAACATCACAACATCATTCAGACTTGCTTCTCCGGATACGAGAGTTCTGATTACAACATCACTCACACATACACCATTCATCTCACGTCTCATTCACACCAAGATCCATCCATTCACTTAGAATTTAGAGTTAGTCTTGTTTAAAATTGTTTAGAAATAAATCTTCTTAAACATTTTAAAGGTGACTCTCTCTTCTCTTGTCTCAGTTAATACGAAGTGTTACATAATCCCTGCAATAAAAGTTCCAATCTTCTGGTTAAAAGTACCCAAAGATCCATAAGATTGATTTCAAATTTACTATGGAGTCTTATGGTTCATTAAATAGATGTAAAATTAACCCCTTACAAGGTCAAAGGTCATTCTCGTGCACCTGGAACTGATAAGGATCTGAACGATCTTGCAGACTCTCTTGCCAAACAAGGTGCAGCTATTGGTACCCCATGGTCCTTCAACCCCTTGTGGCTCCCTGACGATGTGTCTTCTCGGTCAGACCCACCTCGTGTGTCGTGACCCGAGCTCAGGCAGCTAACGCATCCACCACTCGACCATCTGATGGCTTTGTGTCCGTTCAACCTGTCTTTTCTGATAACGATCTTGGCAGCCACCAGTCCCAGGACCCTGCTATCAGCAGGATGATCCTGTACCTTTCTGATCCGACAGCTCATCTGCCTTCTGCCGAGTTTGACTCCGTTCCTGAGCTTCGAGCTCTCTTTCGGGTTCGTGTCACGCTGAGTATGGTTGAAGGGTTGCTGATGCACGTCTCCAAGCCTCCGTCATCGCCGGTCCTTGTGGCACCACCGCCCCTAAGGGGGGGCATGATCACGCAAGCTCATGACTCTCCTTCTGCCGGACACAAAGGTGTCAAGGCCACGTTCGGTGCCCTAAGCCAGGTTGCTTATTGGACGGGGATGAGTAGAGACATCTCAGACTACGTCCAGAGCTGTCTGGTTTGCTGTCAATTTCAGCCTTCTAATCCCATCCACAAAGCTCCGCTACAGAGCAGGGTACTGTCCACACCGTGGTCAGACCTGCAATTTGATGGGGGGGGGTTTAGGTCCAGCAGAGGTAATAAATACTTCTTGACCGTGACCTGTGCATTCACCAAATGGGTTGAATGTTTTCCGGCACCTAACGACACAGCTCAAACGACAGTGATCCTTTTGATGAATCACATCTTCTCCCGGTTCGGTCTCCCCGAACGTGTTAACTCAGATAGGGGAACTCACTTCACCTCTGGAGTGATGGAACATCTCTGGCAAATGTTGGGTGTCAAGGCCAATTTCCACATTGGTTACTGGCCCCAGTGTTCCGGCCAGGTGTAAAGGATGAACCGGACTGTTGTCAGCATTTTGTGGAAATACGTGTCCTCTAGTCACAGAGACTGGGATGTGAAGCTTCCGTTGGCCCTTATGGCCATATGGGCTACTCCTCATGAGTCTACAGGTGTCTCCCCACTTGAAATGATGACGGGTAGACAAATGACCCAGCCACGTCACCTGCTGTATCAGTCAGTTCAGCCCAGTGCCGCTCCGGCTTACACTAGCGAGCAGTATTTGCAGGACCTGAAAAACCATCTGCCTGCAGTGTTTTCTTTTGCACAGACAAATCTGGAGAAATCAGCTGAGGGCAGGAAATCGGTTTGATAACATTTTTGCTCAAAAAATAAAAGTTGATTTTCTCTCATATATCATAGGGTTATATTCATTTTGTTATTTTTGCAACACTTTTTCCAGAACACGTAGGTTACTGCATTAATTTCCTACGCCTGAACTCCGTTCACATAATTTGCTACATACAGCACATATAGAGTTCACATAATTGACTTGGTTTTGTGAGCACCTGGTTGTGCGAGCTGTCAAGACTGGTGGTTTTAACTGGTTTTAATCCTTTTTGGTTTTATCCGTTTTTTACCACTGTGAGCTTTTTATTTTATTTTTTACTTTTTAAATAACTTTTTGGAGCTCGACTGCTGTGTGTTTTTACCTGCTGTCTACTTCCACCTGCTTCAAGCCTCTCACCTGCAGCCCTGGGTGTGTCGGCTGTGTGAGGCTGAGCCAGAAAGTTGTAGAGCTGGAGAAGAGGATCTCCACACTCCACCAAATCCAGGACCATGAGTGTGACGTGGACACCATTTTCTCTCTGACATTCGCCACCACTGATGGGGCTCAGCTGGCGGATGCCGTGTCATGCCAGCCCGGCGAAACTGCTGGGGCAAATTCCATCTCCGGTTCTCCAAGCAGGCTCGGAGTGCTGGGGGCCTGCACAGCATTTGCGGCGGAGGAGGAGCGCTGGTTCCAGCTGGGGGCAAAGCCGAAAGCCCCCCTCAGCTCCACTCCCTTACTCCAGGGTGCATGGGCCAAGGTTGGATCCGGCCAAGGTGGGGATACGCGGGGCGGCGGCCGCCGATCTCCACCTAGCCTGTCCTTGTCCAAGCGTTTCGGTGCCTTGGAGTTGGATTTTCCTCCTCTGCCAGCCCCTGGCCATGACTTTACAGGACCCTTCCAGCCGCTGCGGGACAAGCTGAAAGGCAGCGGCCCTCCATGTTGCACAACCCCCCCAGACTGAAGTTGGGACCCACCAAGGAGCACTGACTTCTCGTCGCTGCAGTCCTGGGGGAGCTCAACCCATCACTCAGCAGGTCCTGGAAGGGTCCTCTGCCCAGCTTCAACCAGCTGACACACCGCCGCTACCACCACCACCACCAACCACTCATCGTTGGGGACTCCATCATCCGTAATGTTAGGATGAGAG